AATATAGTCAAGAATTTATCGGGAAAGAAATTATTCCCCTATGAGCTGAGACATCGGGATAAAATTCTTTAAGTCTCTGACAGGGGAGATTTCAAAGAATAAACTGCCGACAATTTGGTTCTTTTATATGCCAAAAAAAGGTGCAATGGGTAAATGTAGCCCTGTACGCCATAAGACATGGCAGATTAATTATTTTAACTTTTTTTCTCAACTACACATTTAACTGCAAATTTTAAGCCGTTATAGTTCCAGTGTAATTTAACACAATTAACGGGTGTTGTTATTTGCATAATATCTGTAACGCATGCCTCAAGGCAGTGCTCTGTAGAACAATTTGGAGTTTCTTAACGTCCCTCCGGTTGACAGTCGTACGTTGAAGAGGGTAATGCAAACCGTATATTTTGGTTTGCAACGCTGTTATAAGACTCCCTACCAAACTTTATTTTTTACAATACTACAAATACTTTATTTTTTATAATACTCAACATCAAATGCTGAGCGCTTCCTTTTCAAGTGAAGTATATTCTGTTAAATTTTTTTCAAAAAAATTATATCTAACTCTCTCTTGAATGGAAAATATGCTATTTTCAACATGTGATTCGCCGAGGCCTATACTCCACTCCAAGTGGTGGAAAAACACTTTCATCTCCAAATGGACACTTACACGTGTATACCTTCAGACACTAGAGGTCTCACCTAATCTTTTAATCGGCTAAATACACTTGCGCATGGCATTAAAAGCTAGCTTACCTTGAATCGAGTTGGTGACTGACTGGGAAGTGGGGTATTTCATGAAATTTCTCTTTGAATCTGCATCACCGATAAAGTGAGTAAGCTTCAGAAAGAAAGCTCATGTCAATTTCAACTGCACTTGATTGTAGGTAGTTAGCTACATTTCGTCTGTATGTTAAGAATATTCTGTGAAAATTGTAAGCCATGATATAGGATTGGTCTCCTTTTAAAAAATAAAGTAGAAGCGGAGAATTCGGAAAACTGCAACCGAGATTCGCAATTTTGCAGTTTCACCATCGATATGTTGCATCTAAAATGAGCCAGAAATAGCAGTTTCCTATTGAAAAATGTAGTCAAATGGAGCGCAGACCTGCTTACATCTGTCTGCCACATTTTGTCTGCTAATATCATTGTCCAATTTTCTAGAGAATTTTCCGTGGATATTTGAGCTTCGACGCTAAATGGTCGATTTAAAATTAGTCTACCGTGCACAAGAAATGCAAATAAATCAGTCAACTCATAGAAAGGGATATCATTCAAATCTCACGATTAATATTTACGAACGTCTACTCCTCCACACACATTTTGCGAAGTCCATATTTATGACGTATTTTTCAAATTTCCTGCGTTGGCCAAATCGCTATCGATCGAACGTATGAGCCTCGGCATCCAGTGTATGCCATGTAGATAGAGCTATTTGGTTTGTCAAAAAAAAATTTCGGTTCATACGATCGTACGTTCGGTTTGTGAGACTGTGGCGTAGCTAGAAATTCTTTAAAGGGGGGGGGGTCCCATTCAAAAATGTGACGGTAAATTTACATCATTTTGTGTACGTCCCTGATGATATTTTATGTCTGCCCTCAAAAAGTTAAAAGGTACGGCCAAAAAGGTACAATGAACGAGGCTAAGGGGAAAGGAGGTCCACACCACCTGGACCCCCCTTGTCTACGCTACTGTATGTGAGATCAAACTTTTCGATTGACCCGAGCTGATAAAGTAAATTCAATTTCAGGAATCATACGTTTCATCATATGAGCCAAAATCTCGCTTTGACGAATATCGTATATAAAACACAGAGTGCTTGACTCGTAAGGTCAGCTTTTTTTTTTCAATATTTGTGGAAACGTTTTTCCTTGGACTATCACACGTCTGAGGCTTGCCTGCTTGACAGTGGCGCAGATGCCACGGGTTGATACACTAATAAAAATATTTGTATTCTTATATTACTTTTGGTTAATGTATAGGGTGAAACACAAACCAGCACAAATTTTGTGAAGACTTTGGTATAGTTTGCAGTGAATTTAGCGCAAAAAAAACAATGGAGCGACTGAGAAAAAGCATTCCTCCGATTGCGACATTGGTATTCACACTCGTTTTTTTTTTTTTTATCCAATTCCTTTAAGAAAACTACTTAACATTTTCTCTCGGAATTTTCAACCGAAGCTGAGGTTATTTTGTGTTTTACTTCCCGTGTTAACCAAACTTATGTGTTGACTTTTCTCTCTGTGTACAATTCAACTGGACAAGAGACACATATCGAAATCAAAATACATTGAACGCTCGTTGGTTCAAAATTAAAACTAAACACCAGATATTTTTCCTTTTTTCAAGGAAATGGTTTTTGAATGCGCAAGTGTACAGAGTGAATCCAAAAAAAAATTAAATTGTATAAAGACATTTTGTAAGTACCTATTTCTATAATTCGAAGTTGGGTGAAAAATCATGCAAAAGTTTAAAATGCCGATTTTATATAATTATTCCGAGAGTCAATTTCTTTTAATTTACCTTGACAGGATTCAAGCGATTCACACGATAAAGCGCAGAATTTTATGGAAATAATGAGGGCTTGAAATTTTCTCTACAGAGGAAAATGCAATTTATTTCAGATTCCATGGAAAGCTCGGAGAGAAATCATGTTCAAACTTAAGTAGGGCTCTTGAGAGGTGAATTAAAGATTTTTCGTGCGTGATAAGTATTATACATGTCTCCATATCAAGTATGATCGATTGAATGTCTGTTTCTATGAAGCACCTGTCCCACTTGACGATCCTCAACATTCGATGGAAAATATTCTTAATGTTTGATCCTCTAGCAATTGTAGAAAGACAAAAAGTTTCAATTTCACGCTGCAGGGTCATTTTTAGATGCAGTAATTGATGTAAAATGCAGAGATTCTTGATCATTCGAAAATGGAAAATTGGTGCTTAAACCTATTTTCTCCCAGTCTTAAAGAGTCAACCAGCAAAATAAGATTTATTTTTCTATAATCAAAACTGATCTCCTTGCAGGCAGTGAACTTCCTACACTAGCCTCCTTTCCGTCCGTCTACTGGGATCCTGGAGGTCTTAACATGTGGGGTGTGGGCTACAAGAACTATGTGCCTCATATTTATCTACATTAATTAAATTAATCAAGGTATTAAGAGACAAAGTAGCATTAGATTATCAAGAAAGCCAGGAGTTTTGGAATTATATTTTTCTATGATAAATAACCTGAGTCCATTACATCACATGCAAGTTTAATTATGTCGTTTTCCCATGGTTCTCTTCGCACCTCTTATAAACCTGCGTATTTATTCTGGATGGTGGTTTCAATTTTCTCCAACGTTTTAAACTTTAAACAATATTTTTACTAGTGCTATTGAATAAATTAGTAGCTTTATTATTGACAAGAGTTTTAATTTATGCTGAAAATTCACACCCCAGATTCCTTTGGTCAGTTGTGGTACGCCCTGCATTTATTGGTGGATCCAGCAAATTGGCAACATTGTATTTCTCCATTTAAACCCATGGAAATGTGTCGATTTTTGGAGAGGCCTGGTGCTCCGACAAGAATCGATTATTTAACATAGGTTTAAATGGAGGGAATCCGGTGCTGCAAATTTGCTTGATCCGCTCGTGCCTGAATTTCTCTTTTACCTAAGTTAGCCAACAATATTTTTAAAATATTTCCAAAAAAATATTATATTTTAATATTCTCAGAATATTAACAAAATATTTTAAATATTCATGTAGAGGTATATATTTTAAAATACTTTTAAAAATATTTTCAGGATTTATTTTAAAATTATCCAGCAATTATTTTAAAAATATAAGGATTTATTATAAAAATATCTTGGGATTCACATTCTCATATTTTAAAAATATTTTTGAAATATTACCAAAGTATTCTGCGAAAATATCGATTCAACATTTTAATAATGTTTTAAAAATATTGTTTCTTTTACTAGGTCTGCGTCTGCTTCAGGCAGCTCATTCACTATGTGCTGCCCACCTTTGCTTTCTAGCCAAAAACATTCCGAGTTAATTTCTTCGATAGACACCCGCGTCAGATCCCTTCTGAGTGGACAAGCTGGGTTGGTGATTGGCTTGTTCAGTTTTCCGGATATTATGTACTTCATGTAGTCGTTTTCGGTGCACGATATCATGCCGTACAGATAAAGTCTCCCGGCGAGTCTTTTTCCTAAAGCTATCCGTTTCGCGGGCGACCACCCGGGCTTCAATTTTGCCGGAACTATGGCTACCTAAAACAAAAACCGGCCGGAAGTTAATGATAAAAAATGAGACGGATCAGTTGCGCTAGTCAGAGAATCGTATTTTCATGACGGAAGATTATGCATGCACTGTGAACAAATCTCCGGCCGTAGAAGCCGTACTTAGGGGCTATATAGACATATACCGTCCAGGTTCCGGGATCAGTGACCGAAAGTTCCGGACGTAGCACCCAAAGCAATCAAAGCTACTGCTTCACCACCCGGAAGTTTCGGCATCTGAGTCCGGAACGGTCGGAATGACCATACAAAAGCCCGTAACTTTTTTTGAGTGTGAGCAAAAAATAAAATGCTGCTATCCGAAATTGCTACTTTTATCGTAGGATCTATCTTTCAAATTTTTATTGCCTTGGTCACAAACATTTTAAAGTATCTAACAATTGGACCACCTTTTGCATTAATTTACTGCTAATATAAAAATACATCACCAATTCGAAATTTCCATATGCAGAAAGATGCTTTGATGGATTAGTCAAAATAAGCTTCTCCGCACTGCAAAATGTAATACAAGTATAATTTTATTTAGCTTCACTCTCTGACAAGTCTAAAAATATCGTGTGTGTATAAGGGTGTGCGAGTGTGTGTGTGTCCCTTTGACGAGCCGCGGGTTGCCGCATCTGATCAAGGAGTGGGAGAGAGATAGACGATAAAACGGCGGCGTGTCTAAGCCGAGTGTGCTCCTTTGACGTGCCGCATCTGAGCAATGAGTGCGAGAGAGAGAAAGGACAAAACAGCGTATAGACCAATCCAAGTTGAGCCTTTGTCCCCGTTTACGGCCATTCTTTCCAGGGCTCATGGTCAGATAGCACTCCGGTGTTTTTTCAGGGCACCCGGAATCGGGATGGCCACTACCACCGCTGACCAAATTACGAAGCCCAGCCTGTATTTTTGCGTGTGTGTGTGTGTCCCTTTGACGAGCCGCGGGTTGGCGCATCTGATCAATGAGTGGGAGAGAGATAGACGATAAAACGGCGGCGTGTCAAAGCCGAGTGTGCTCCTTTGACGTGCCGCATCTGAGCAATGAGTGCGAGAGAGAGAAGGGACAAAACATCGTATGGACCAATCCAAGTTGAGCCTTAGTCCCCGTTTAAAGCCGTTCTTTCCAGAGCTCATGGTCAGAAAGCACTCCGGTGTTTTTTCAGGGCACCCGGATTCGGGATGGCCACTACCACCGCGGACCAAATTCCGAGGCCCAGCCTGTATGTTTGCGAGTGTATGTGTGTCCCTTTGACGAGCCGCGGGTTGGCGCATCTGATCAATGAGTGGGAGAGAGATAGACGATAAAACGGCGGCGTGTCAAAGCCGAGTGTGCTCCTTTGACGTGCCGCATCTGAGCAATGAGTGCGAGAGAGAGAAAGGACAAAACAGCGTATGGACCAATCCAAGTTGAGCCTTAGTCCCCGTTTACGGCCGTTCTTTCCAGGGCTCATGGTCAGAAAGCACTCCGGTGTTTTTTCAGGGCACCCGGATTCGGGATGGCCACTACCACCGTGGACCAAATTACGAGGCCCAGCATGTATTTTTGTGTTTGTGTTAGTTCGGGAAAACTGTCAATGTGAAGTTTGCCTTCAATTTCTGTGTAGGCAACAAGCCGACCTTTCTTTGTTACGCGATGTATCATTTCTTCAATTGCAGGGTAAATGCACTAGTCACAGAATCATATATTGATTGCTCAAGTTTATGCATTATTAAGTATTAATACGATCAGTCCTAATGCCTAGTTTGTGTGTCCAATATTAACGCAGATATCATTAATCAAAAAACACGGTGTAACTCGACATCGATCGGGTAGCATATATACCATGGCCTCTTCTATCTTGGATTCATCAATTAGCGGTACACTTATTTGAACTGATTTCTCGACTCATGGTACGGATGCAATGTGGTGGACGAAAGCATAATATATGCACCACCACTGTGATAACGATATACGCCGTTTTATAGTGAGCGATATAGGGACCGAGTTTGGCAGAAAGGAACCAAGCCACATCAGCTATTGCCAATTCTCATTAGGGAAATTAATTTTTTTTCGTGCAAATGGTTGTGCAAATTTTCGTGCAAATTTCAGTGAATTTTCTTCATTGCATGAAGCCAATTCTTTTAAATTTTCAAAGGAATCCGCAAAAACTCTCTCTTGTAAAAAAATTAATTGCCCAGTTTAAGGCAATAGCTGACGCGGATTGGTTACACCACACACATGGGTTAGTAAGATTACACCACCTCTTAGGTATGAATAATGTAAGCAATAGATACCTGTAAATATAAGAACTAAAGATAAGCACACGAAAAATTCTTGGAAAGAAAAGAACCACAATAAAACATGAGATTAAAATTAAGAGATCAAACACCACAAAAACAACTTGGAAAGTCAAATATTTCAATCAGTAAATACTTTGAATTAGAAATAATTTGACGCGGTCCAATAATATCGCGTTAATAATGCGGGTGTGGTGTTGCGACAGATTTTATAATTTTTGTTGATCTACAATCTGAAGTCATCAAAAGTCGATTTGAAATTTTTGCCAGACACGGAAATTTTTAAACAAGACATGACCGATCTTACCTTGGCTCGTGATTTATCATGTGTCGCGATGAAGATTTCGATGTTTTTTTTGCCATGAAGAGTGGCCATCACGACTTCATCCCTGCTGATGGCCGCCAGGAGTCGCCCGTTTTTCGTCTTCAAAACGTCTCCCGGACCATAAAATTTTGCATTGAAAGAATTCCAGACGGTGGCGTCTACTTTCACGGTGGTCGAGAGCAGGAGTAGTTGAAAAACAACTGTGGAGTTCACAGGAAAAATGAAATTGCTGATTTAACAATTGCATAGTTAAAACAAGTGTCCGACATGTTTCAATTTAGATTTTAAAATAAAAAAATGCAAATTTAACCACCCCTGTATTAGTTTTTCACCATTGTAAAATGTGCATGTGAAACACGTTGAACATATTTTTTCACAATTTAATTGTTAAATCAGCAATCAATTTCTTTCGGTGTTGTTGAAATTACAATATATGTGTTTCAATTTAGATTTTAAAATAAAAAAATGCAAATTTAACCACCCCTGTATTAGCTTTTCACCATTGTAAAATGTACATTTGAAACATGTTGAACATATTTTTTCACAATTTAATTGTTAAATCAGCAATCAATTTCTTTCCGTGTTGTTGAAATTACAATATGTGAGTCATGGCTATTAAAATCAGTGCTATCCTAATTAATAAACGTAATTGAACTAAAACAGCACCGAAAAAAGAGTGATGCTAATTTAACATTCTGGATGTAAAAAAAGTGTGCGAGAACTCACACAACGCTGAATTAACCGCGAAAGCAGTTACTTTAGCAATGCCAAAATGTCAAAGGAAAACTACGTTTTGAAGTGCGGATTTCTGTCCATAAAAAACTCTAATCCCAAAGTTTTGTCATCGCTAAACAAACATTTTCGGACAAGGTTTTCTCCATTCACCGTGACCCTTATTTTCCTCGCGCGGGCATGAAATTATCATTTACACGAAAAATATTTTGTGTAAAAATATTTTACAAAAATATCAAAAAGGGGCTAATCGATCGTCTCGATTGAATAATACCTGCAAAACATACCTGTTATTAATAATTGATGTATTGATCTCGAATGATAGAAGTTGTGTCGTGTCTCTGATCGCCCAATCCTTTTTAAACTTTTGACGATCATATTTGCTCTGGATTAATAGACTGACAATGAGAGGAATTGCATAACAGTACACCTGTTTGCTCTAATTCAGAGAAAAAGAAGTACATGTAAAGCACAATGGTATGATAGAAACATAGATATCCGTGCTTACCTCAACGTTGATTCGGTAGAAGATTATGCATTACCAAGATGTATAAGTCATACAAAATTAGACTGCACATCTTACACTATGCTATAAAATCATAAGAGTAGCGCATAACGCATAACGCATAACGCACAACGCATAACGCACAACGCATAACGCACAACGCATATCGAATAACGCCTCCATGATGCGCGAAGTGCTCTGAGGAGTTGGACCGGGAAGCTGTCAGAGGGCGAGCCCCCTGTTTCATTTTTGTATAAACACGAAGAGCATGCGCTCTTGGAATGGGTCCACGGTGTATGTTCACATAGAAGACAACTGCTTTAACTCAGAATCCAAGGGTTCAAAAATGTTTTACAAAATTACTATCAGAGCTACTTTCTGCGTCCTTTTTCAATATGGTCGAGGGCTAGCTGGCAAATTTTGACCCTCTACAACCACCTTTTCACTTTTTAATTCAAATAAAAAGACATTGGCAAATCGTAGGCACTATGTTCATTCAATGCTGGCTTTTTGGTTTCTTTTCAAAGTGTTGAAATGGACGTTTCAGAATTAAATAATTCTCAAGTTCTAAACGTAAGATTAATTTTTAAGTTAGAAATACGTTTCGGATAGAAAGTTTTTTCATTTTGTTCAAATTTACAATTCATTCCAAAGATCCTTGGCTGTATTTTGATATTCAGCTCGAGAAATGCATCGTGCTAAAAATAAGTTACAGTTTTTTGTAGTTGTCTAAAAGACAACCTTGAGGAAGTGACCTTGTGCCTTTTTGACCTTCCATGCTTTATAGCTTTATAGCGCAATAGCTTAGCGAGTTCAAAATCAATTGCTTTTCTTTTGCTTTCAATATTGTCTTCCTGTGTAAATTTTGGCACATTTAGGTGAGGCAGTCCATAAGGGGCCCCCAAATATAGGTGGAGGGGAATAAAATTGATGAATTTCAAGTGGTTACCTCTCAAGCCGTAAACAAATGTTTAATGTGATCCCAGAAAGTACAGTTCACCTCCTTTGCAATATTAGGGTCTATGAGACTACTCGCTCAATTACCTTGACACTGACGTGTAGTTGAACACTGGAAATGTCACTCATATTGATTCAAGTGTTTTCTCAATTGATGAAGTTGCATTTTCGTCCGTGTGCATATTGTGACGGACTCAAAAAAGAAGGTAGAGGAGAGGGGAGTATCTATTGATATGGGAGGGGCTTAGCATCCGCCCCTAAGTTTTTTTTTTGTAGCCCCACTAAGTATCTCCGCGATATTTTTAAAAGAGGAAACTTAAAACATGGAGGACCAAAAAAAGCACAAAGTTACTCTTCTCAACTTTCAAAAAACCGCAAAAACTGTGACTTTCTTTCAAAATTTCTTTGAGCTGATTTTTGAATGGTGACTTTGGGCCGCAGTATGATTAGACATGACAATTTCAAAAGTCAAAGTCGATGTTACTATACACCGGTTTTTTTAAAAGTAACAAGCGCGCCAGTAGAGCATAGTTGTATTTTGGATGATCCTGCTAGACTGCTCGGAATTACATCTGGGGTGTGTCATAAAATGTAATTCCTCTTTTACTTATCTTTGTTCATTAATTTTGTTACTCATTTATTTACTCTAGATGGTTGGACTTCGGGATTTGAAGATTCACACTATGGGCATGCTCATTTTGAGCCAGTCGTGGGGTTTAGACACAATCTCTCCCCCCCCCACCATTAAAAAAATGCCTTTTTGTTCCTAATTTTTTCTCTTTTTTACAGGGTGTATAATCCTTTGATTCTAAAATCTCGAACGTGTAACATTAGATATTTTTTGATGGATATAGTCAATGTGGATATAGGTAAATTATAAAATTCATTCTGATGACCTATGCCTCATTTTTTTCCAACGAGAGATTGATAGTATTTATCACAGATTATAATCTCAATTGATTAGCCACAAGACTTGTCTGAGACCTTAAAGAAAACAATCTTGCCATGAAAATCCTGCATTGTAGTATTACTTCACGCGGACATGTAAGTATGGTTGCTGGCGTTGCAATTTGTAGGAAAAACTAAGCATACGGCCATCCAGAACTAGACCATGTGATTGGTCTCGTAGTAGATTGATAATATTACAAATATCCAAATCTGATCTACTGAAAAAGGTTTTAACTTATATTAGCGCTAAATTGTGGTGCCAGCAAGATTTTTTTCCGAAGTTAAGTCACTTAAATGGAGGCATTGAGAATAAATTTGAAGAGAAAAAAAAGAGCTTTTGTGGAAAACTGTGAGGTGCAATTGCTGTTTAGTAGGAAGTTTTATGAAACCCAAATTGAATTATTGGTGTTGTTGTTTTCTTTTACGTTCAAACGTACTTTCAATTCGTGCATGGAGTTAAAATTTTCTTGCTATATTTTTGATTAGGCAAACTTCAACTTTGTTGCCTAAAAATAAACAGCATGTTGATAACTTGAAGTGCTTGAATCATGAGTTTGAAATAAACCCAACGCTAGAAAAATAAAGTTCACAGAAGACCTTAAATTGTTACGTATGTAACATCCATATGACACACGGCCGCTGTTTATAAAGTACCCTAATAATGCGTAAATAGTGAGCAAATAATATGTTACCCGTGCCTTCCTCCTTCATGAAGCACCAGTGACACCGGTCTTCACCCCTGAAAAATAATGACGATCCCGTCTCTTTACGTTCACCCCGCCCCCCTTAAAAAATGTACGATAAATCGCAATTTTCCTCTTTAAATTTTTGTATTTCTGAGAAAAATGAACAGAAACAAACATGAACGCGAGGTAAATACATACATTGCGGTAAAAAAACACATTGGATCTAGAGTCCAGACTCTTAAAAACATCGACAAGAAAAAGTACTCTTGATACAATCAGAATCTAGCTTAATCAAGAACCAAGCCTCTTAATTTAAGCGGATTTCGTTTTGATTCAAGCAAAAATCCGATTGAATCAAGAGTATTTTTTCTTGTCGATGTTTTCAAGAGTCTGGACTCTAGATCCAATGTGGTTTTTTCCCAGTGTTTAGTCAAAATAATTAGTTCGAAATTAGTTTAATGATGCAATTCAAGGGAGGATAGGAAAATCATGAGACAAAGGAGAAAATTTTATTCAGTAAAACATTAAAATAAAATTTAAAGCGGCAAAATAAACAGAATTCCTCTAGAAAAAAGTGGAAAATATACAGCTTTAAATCTTACTTAACGAGGCCCTGAACTGTTCACTTCCCCTTAACGTGGCCTTAGATCTCTTCCTTCCTCCGTAACGCAACCATAACACAGATTTAACCTTTCCCTCTGGCTGTACGTATTTTGTTATATCAAAATCCAAATTATTTAGCTGCCATGAAGTACCTATGGGAGAGTCTCGATTATGCGCGGTATATTCGGGACAAGAGCTGCCGCATATAACTGAAAATCGCGGATAATCCGAAACGAAGCTATTTCATGCCGTGGTACATTTTACATTTCTTAGTCACACAAAATTTCTTTCCTCTTCGTCGCCTGAAAAAGAAAAAACAAGTACTACCGAGAAGAGACGCAGATTTTGGATACGGAGAAAAAAGTGTAAGGGGTTATCCGCTAAAATTGTGGTACTACCCCGATTTGTTGGATGATATGGACATTTCCAAGTAATTTTTGTAGTACCGCAATATTTAGGTTAGTAACCAAATTCATCAGGATACTACCACAACTGATTGGGAATGTCCATATCATCCAATAGTTGGGACTTAGCCCCCAAATCTTTATTCTCCGTCGAGGCTCCATGAAACTGTATTAAAAACAATAATAACAATTTAAACAGCTAGTAGAAGGGCTAATTTTCACATAGATAACAACAAAACGTTTCGGCTGAAAACCAGCCTTCCTCAGTTGGATAAAAACGGTAAATTTTTTTTAAAAATCTAAAAACTTAGTACGCGGCTGTGATTTTTGTTTTCGCGCTTTGAGAGGTACAGCCAAACACTAAATTTTTAGCTTTTTAAAATTTGTTTACTGTTTGTATCTAATTGAGGACGGCTGAGTTTTCAGCCGAAATGTTTTTATCGTATTTATGTGAAAATTAGCCTCGTTGCCCGCTGTTTAAATTGTTATTATTGTACATCTTGTTACGGGCTCCGGAGCATCAAACATATCTCATTTCTTCTAGAAAACAACATTTTTCTCGCTTTGAAACGTACAGCCGAGGACTAAGTTTTTAGATATTTAAAATTGTCTACTGTTATTATTCAACTTAGGAAGGCTGAGTTTTCAGCCGAAACGTTTTATCGTATTTATGTGAAAATTGAATTAGTGAGTTAAAAAACATACCAACTCGGAAAAAAAAAATTGTTCAGGAAACACCTAAAACGGCGCAGTGGGCGAAAAAAGTAAGTTTGAGAAAAACCTTTTTGGTGCCAAAGGACAAGTACTTAGAAACTTTGTAAAGCACCAAGTTGAAATCGATACACCATGTTTGATGACAGAGAATTAATTGTTTAAACATTTCCGAGTTGGTGTGTTTTCGTTCTCACCGACTTTCAGATACTGATTTTTCATAGTCTGCCCTGAAAAATGTATATTTTTCGACCTGAATAACGCTTGAATATTTATAGAACTTGTCGGTACAAGGTATACTGAACCGAAAAAAGAAAACCGCAAAATCGGATGGTCACCCGTTTCCCTTGAAATGGCTAAAAATTGGTATTTCCAATGAAATACTTGGATTTTTCCCTCTTCCCGTCGCTGTTTCGAGCACTCCCGATTGCAATTTCGAAATTTTTTTTTGCGTGCAGATGCTTCTATCCGTAAGTGTTACTAAACCGTAAAAAAGTGAAAATCGAAAAAAACCCGAGTTGGTGTGTTTTCGAACTCACTGATTCAATTAGCCTCGTTACCCGCTGTTTAAATTGTTATCATTGCATATCTTGTCACGGGCTGCGGAACATCATACATATCTCTTATAGTAAAACTAAACTGCATAGTGACACTACTAACTGCTATACTCGTTGTAGTGAAATCACCCAGCCGAAGCCTTGGGCAGTTGGTCTACTATGACGCGCTTATTTTTGCTCTCCAAGTAAAAACCAGGCGACTTGATTTCTGCGATGCTCACCGCTGACAAATCCCTTCTGAGCGGACAAGCTGAATTACCCGTCAGAGGCTGGTTAGTTTTACCATACACTATGTACTTCATGTAGTCCTTTTCGTGGCACGACACCGAATTGTAGGGATACATTTTCCCGGAGAGTTTCATAGCTAAAGCTACTCGTTTATCCGCATTCCACCCGGGCTGCACCTTAACTGGACTATTCTGCACCTGAAAACAGACGAAACGCTATAAGTCCTCTGGAGTTCCTCACTGCGCAGTGGCGACTCTAGAAAATTGGCAACACTGTTTTTCCTGCATTTAAATCCATTGAAAATATAGATTTAAAGTGAGGCAAGCTGCCTCGGCAAGAATAGATTATTTTACATACATTTAAATGGAGGAAAAACAGTGTTGCCAGCTTTCAAGAATCGCCACTGGCACTGCGTGGAAGTTTTGGTCAAAAACGTCGATTCTCAATTTTTAAGACATGTCGGACTTTGGCGATTTGAACAAGAAATATGACGCAATCGGGAAAAATCCGCCACTTTTACCGGCCTTAGCACCGAAAAAAGCGTATTTAGGACAAATCTCATATGATAAGAGTGTCTTATTTCAAACCCAAATTTGATTACTGAACGTCTGATGCGTTAATTTGTCGACACCCTGTGGGTAAATTTAAAGATTGGCAGTCAAATCAAAGGTATAAGATATCTCAGACTGTTGAGTACAAGATTTTCCATTTTCCGGATCTTGTCTTTACAGAGCATGTCTAGACATGTTTACAAAGACGCGACATCTTCCTTTTAGAGGCTCAGTAACAACTGAGCAACTCTGATAATTGCCGGTTAATAAATGATGACTGAAGGATAATTTTGCGTTGAGTAGTTTTTATAGAAAACTGCGACTCCAGCTGGATAAATAAAGCGGGTACTTTTCCTGTTTGTACGTAGCATACGATTAGTATAATGTCATAACAACGATAAAAAATGACCTTGAGGTCGCTGATCGTTGGTATGTATGTTTGATGACACGTAAAAAGAGTCCTCGCGTAGTCAAAATAAGACTATCGAAATGGTAATTTATGTAACTTTTAGGCAATACAGCTTGTCATGCAGATCATTATGCGGCTCATTGCCCTTTATCATAAATTGCGGCAAGGAAAGCATTTCCCGGAATTTTCCTCAAAAAAATCAGCCATCCCGGCAAAATGGTGGGTAAGGGATAAATGGAAGTTGCCTTTGAATTCAGGGTCATGTAAATATGTGTAACACACAATCCCAAGTCTAGGATATTTGGAAAGGGTCTTTGAAAGGATATTTGAAAAAAATTGGTACGACTCCTTTCCGAAACTATCGTTTCACTTAATGGTGCTGAATATTAAACAAATCTTACCGGGGTTCGTGAATTTTGAGGCTGCGTCGTGAAAATTTCAACTTCGTTGCCGCTTTTTTTAGCCATGACAAAGTCTTTAGTGCTGATTGCAGCCAATAGCTGGTTTTGTTTGTCTTTTGTGATCAGAACGTCGCCTCTACTGAATGCGGCGGAACCTAGTGATTGCGTGTGTCCGGGATCACCTCCCCATAATCCACTCACTGCTGTCACCATCAGAAGTTGCAAAATTGCTGTGAATTCCGTTAAAACAAAATGAAATAATTGGGCTATTCTGCCGTGCTAAGGAAAAACATCTTAAGAACCTTCAGACGTTGCCGTACTTCCCCCAAAGAAAAACCGAATTTACTGAGAAAATTGTGAATTTTTTTCTTAAAATTTTCAGACAATTTTGTTGCAATTTAATCTAAAATATCTGAACATTTCAATGAATAATACGCATGACTTTCCTCAAATATTCGTGTTTTATCTGGGGAAATTTGGCAATTTCCGAATGTTCATACGGCGTTCTTCCTTAACACGGCAGTATTGCCCGCACATGTTTCCTTTCAATACATTTTCGGAAATCATGCACTCTTAAAACATTTGTAGTAAAATTCTGTGTCCACGTCTATATCGCGCCTAAAAATCCCTAGTGATATGAATGCGAAGCGGAATCTGTTCTTTTTACGGAGTGACTTACACAATTACGGAACTGTGCTCTTTTTGTGGAGTGTATTACGCTTTTACGGTGTTAATTTCACTTTGCATGCATATCACTCGAGGTTTTTGGGCGCTGTACAGGCCCTGAAATCAAATTTCACCCCTCGATTTTCAACAATGTATGAACAAGTCCTATTAGCACGAAGACGATTAACGTTCAATGGCATGGTTTGATTTTGGGTCTTGAATTCTAGGGGACGCAAATTTATATTAATTCTCTTTGTAAAAACAGAGTGTTACCTGTTACCTTAGTTAAACCTTAAAAACCTCAGCTAAATCTTAGGTATAAATATTAAAAAAAACAGTGGCAATTTAAAAAAAAGTACTGATACATATTGGCAACATCATGCCTTAGAAGAATATTCAATTTTAAAAACAAGGAAGAGAAAAAAGAATGCGTCGTTGGGTCTATGGGGTCTCGAATAGGTCTGCAGCATGCAAGAGATATACTGCCAAGTATGTACACTTTTAGACAGTAAAATCTCACGAACATCGCGCTGAGAACAACCATTGACATGCAAAACTTAAAGATTCAGTCCGATCAATGCCTGACAGAAAGTCTATACCCGAAGTAACGAAAAACCGAAATGGTTTAACTATATATCGACAGTGACACTCTTAAACCACGTATCTCGATTTGTGACGTTGCAGACTTCCTGTGGTAACCCATTTTCATATGTAGGCACGCTTTTGATGTAAAGTGTGTACAGCCAGCCCTGTTTTCTATACTTTAAGATGGGTTTTGTGCCAAATCTTATAGTACGAGTGTTATTTTTTCGGGGTTTTTTTTTCTTAAAATCGGTTAGGTTATTTTCTTTATAGTTCATTTATTTATTTTAAGGTGGATCAATTTTTTCGTGGATACGTTGTTTTGTATTGAAGTTGCCAACATGACGTTGTCTTGATGCGATGACGTGGCAAGTGTTATGATTATTAACAAGAAGTGTTTGAACAAGCATCGTCCAAATTTGTGAATCCCTGCAATTAAGATCAAAAGCGGACTGGCTCCTCGAAGCGGCCGGGAAAATTTTATTTCCACCTTAAAACAAACAGGATTGGAAAATCTCAACGATCCTGTGATCCTAGGATTGCAAGTCCGCGGTTTACGTACACGAAGGTAGGTTCGGCACGAAGAAAATACGACTTTCTGAGGACTACAGCGCGCATCGTGCTATACGCGCAATGCATGAAGTATCCAGCAGACTTGTAAGGCGCTACACTACGCGGTGCGCGCGCCTTGCTATATGCGCAATGCATGAAGTATCCTGCAGACTTGTAAGGCGCTATATACTACGCGGTGCGCGCGCCGCGCCGTGCTGTACACGCAATGCATGAAGTATCCTACGGTTTTGTAAGGCGTTTACTGTGCGTTCCGCGCCGGCCGCACTGTGTTGGATGAGATTATTCAAACTAGCGGCGTCAGCGGTTTTCAACTTAGGATTTTGAAGTTTTTGTAAAGTTCGTTGGAATTATTGTCATTTCAAATAATGAAAAATTACAAAAAACCCAACTAATTTTCTTCTCTTCTTTTGCATATTTTTATAAATAAGTTCAAATAAAAGCATGCAAGTGAAAAGACTCTCATGTGTAGGCTCCCTCGTTTCTTAGCAGTGTAATGGCGTGATCATTTGGACTACATTTTCTGGCTCATCTATAAAAACTCTTGTGTGCATAAGGAAACTGACGGTGCGTACGTTGTTCCTAAATGAAGCCCGAAATTGTAGTTCCTGATTGCAAAACGAAGCTCATTTGAAGAATGAACGTTCGAAGCGTAGGGAATGGATTCGACGAAGCAAAGGGTACGGATTCGATCGATATGAATTGATCGAAAAGTAAAAACGTGAATTGATCGAAAAACTCGTGAATTGATCGAATGGACGCAGCTTTTTTATTAATTTGTCGGTTTAATTGGTGTCAATCTATTCATCGTCATCGGTAAGGCGGTGAAGATTTGAAAGTTTATTATACTGTAACTCATTTCCTGCCGATTTTTTCTCTCACAAACCTGTTGTCACTATTGTCATAAAAAATTTGTATTATAATCTCGTTTTACAATAATTGTCTCCGTTATTAATTAAATACATATCGATAGTGTGAGTCGGCAGTCACATAACTCGTTTGCGGTGTCTAAAAATCTCCGCCTCTATGTTATTTTTTTAAAGGAGAACAAATTAATATCATACCATCATACCTTCACACAGAGAAGAAAAATCACGGCAGTTTTAGAGAATTGCCACTGCGCAGTTTTTCGTTTAAAAAGTAAAGTATGACAGGAAATCCGCGTCGTCGCAAACCGAGTTATGTGATTGCCGACTTACACCGTCGATATGTGATTTTTTAGTGTTGGCTGATTTATAATCTTAAATCATTGAAAATAAAATAAAAGACCAATTTTACCAAGAAAACTTTTCTCCTGGACACGCTGATGCAATAACAATAAGTTCCAATTAACAACTTGTTTTAAAATAAAAACTACTCAAAATCAATTCTTAAAAAAAATCGTGGTTTTTCTTCTCCAAGCGAAAAAAAATTCTGATAGAACTTTCAGGACAGCTTTTAATTTGTTCTCCTTCAAAAAAATAAAATAGGGGAAGAGATTTTGGAACACGGCAAGCGAGTTACGTGATTTGAGAATTTCAGCGTTGACATCAGAAAAAGCAACAATCAGTATTAGTATTAAAGATTTTACCAGAAACGTACCAATAGGAAGTGATATGGTCAGTGAGCTTGAGTGATACCAACATTGAAGACTTTGGGATCGATGAGTCATTCTCAGATTTTCGACGGTCATGATCAAGATTGACTGCCGAGCGGGTAATGAATATTCTGGGAAAGACACCTATTATTTCGAATGGGAAATTTCCTAATGCCAGATCGTAAAATGACAGGTTAAAGGAAGACTCCAAAACCTTAATTAGTAGCGGTTTGAAAAGATTAAAAGGGAGACTTTATATTAAATAATTTGGAATTTGCAACGCTCACACAATAAAATAATTGAGGATGATCACAGCAGATAACCTTGGCTTCCTTTGCATGTGGGATCGATGAATGGAACTACCCGCTCGGTCAATTTGATAGTGACGGTTGATCGAAGCACTGAAAATGTAATTCATATTTACTCAGATGTTTTCTCGTCTGGTAAAGTTGTATTGTTACCCGTGCGCATACCTATAAACTGCCGTGCTGAGAAAAAAACGCCGTATGAACCTTCATGCGTTGCCTAATTTCCTTTGATAAAAAACGAATTTCCTGCTAAACTAATGAATATTTTGGCTATAATTGTTAAGTTAAATCTGCTTGCAACTTCAACTAAAGCTCCTGAAAATTTCAAGTAAAAATATTCACAACTTTCCTTAAAATAAACATTTTATCGAAGGAAATTTAGCAACTCTCAAATGTTCATACGGCGTTTATCCTCAGCACGGCAGTACAAAAGCGGATTAATTAAAAGAATTTGGCTCGGAACTTATTGTTTGTCCAACCAACTTAGGGATGGAAGCGGAGTAGGATAATTACAGTATACAATTAATTATTCCCCGTATTAATCCATCGTTCCTAATTAATCTTAATTCCATCGTTTAATGTTTACTATTTTCCGCTTTTCATACATTTCATAAGAGAGCATTTTTATGATCTTGAAGTTTGTGGGTCCTAATTAAGTGTCTCTTTGCATTGAAAGTTCGTAAAAAATATCGAGTATTTTAAAAGGAAACTGCCAGATAAGACAGAGATGATCATGAATTCAGAAATTAAAGGGGTAAGGTGATGGTTTCAATTTTCCGTAATATTTAGATCATCCCTCACCCTAGGTCGAGCGGTTCACCACAGCTCACTATACGGAAAAATATGTTGTGGCTGGACTCTAATTTTCGTAGTCCGGCCTCAATTTATTTGATGATGTGGCCATTTTAATATATATGGACTGCGCTGCAACTCATTGCTTGAGAACATATTTGTGGTTGGATCGCACCTTGATGGAGTTGAAACCCAATAAATTAAGATTCAGCATTAATAAATTACGCGTGCCCATTTCATACAATAATTAGGCCTGGACCACTATACTTTCTGTCTCCTTTTCTGTGAGGCTGCTGATGAGTCTTGTCGGTTGTATTTTACGAACTTGTACAAATGGTTGCTTGATCCATCATTTGCAGGGGAAACTATTACGGGGCTATTTAGCCAGACAGGCGAAGGAAATTAAAACTAAAGAGATTGTTTTGGCAGCAGTAAGATGATATTCATTTGTAAGACGAGGATGATTGTGGTGCATGTCGAGGGGTCTTTGAAGCACCAGGGGGATTTTCAATAAAAGACCGTAAAGTTACATTGATTTTTTTATCATTTATCACGAGTGAACCTTGTATTTCTGCTGGAAAAAAATATTATGCAAATACAAACCGTTTAATCGTTCTAATAAAAATGATTACGTTCAACCAATACAGGTTTTTAATGAAAGAGTTTATGTACACAATTTACAGCTAACTTATAATTATGAATAAAATCACTGGCCTCCGATTTTGAAATGGTTTTGAGCTCAAAAATTATGCTTGTCAATTGAGCCAGGGAACAACCACGAAGGTATGTTCCATTTTTTCAGCCTGAGAGTTTGTGGTAGGACTATACTAATACAATAAGTCTACTTACATTTTCTACGAAAAGTGAACACATAATGAAATGGTATGAAATGGTTTTATATCCGAAATATGCAAACTTGTTTTTTACCAGGAACGATTTAATGAGGAGCGTTGGATGGTACCATCAAATTTATTCAACGGGTAGGTATTATTGCTTAGAAGTTGTTTTGAAAATGAACCCTTGAACTGACATTTTTTTGAGGCATTGAATTTTTAAATGTACGCTCTTAACATGGAATCAAAATATATTTTTTTATTCCTTCTGCGTGAACTTAAATGTGCATCAAATGGTCTGAAGAATCTGGATGAAAGCATCAAAGAAGTATAGCTATTATATTTCAGTTCACAAGAAAATAAAAATAAAAATTAAAAATAAATGTTCGCTGATGGGCAATGTGCAACAGTTTGGCATTATAGTTATATTTGATAATATTTGGCAAAGTCTTCAGGTTTAAAGCACAGTTCGATCTAATTTGTAAGAAAACAACTTTAGAGAGGATGAAATTTTTAAAACTGAATTTTTAAAATGAGAGAAGAGGGTATTAATGCTACAATTGATAACTTCCAGACATTCACCTATGTATCAATGAATTCGATTCGTTGCAGATTATTTCGGTAGGTAAGGATAGGTTTTCATAATTTTTAGCAAAAATGTATCGAATTCTTTGATGGGAGGGCTCAAGTTATTACGATACAACCTCAATTTGTTTGAGGCAACTTCCAAGTTCAAAATAGTTGGTTTCAAAAAATTTATCTATTGAGTAAATAATCAAACTATACAAATATTGCATTCTCTTCATAACCGGAGGACTTACAACTAAAAATTAATTATATCATCGAAAAATTTCTCAAAAAATGTCATGTTGGCAAATCTACGTGTAAAATGGCATCACAGCCTTCAAATACTTATTTCAATATTTGTGGTGCATTACTTTCCAATACGAAGGTTAATCCTTTATTGTTTGGCTTCACTGAACTGACCAATACCATTAAGAAAAAAATCCCACCACTCATTTGCTAAAATTTTAAAAAAGTAAATAATGCTTGGCCTTACAAGACAAATCTTCAATGAAAAAACAAAATTCCAGTTCTATGAAACATATCGAAATATGTTAAATCTTGCTCGATACTCAAGGCGTTTGTGCCGCCTAGGGAGAGTTAGTTTATTAGAAGCTCTTTGAGGTACGAAGATATCGTTATCAATAGGTAGGTTGAATGAATGTGTGGACTGTTAAAGTGTTGAAGGAAGTGTCAAAGCAGCTAATAATATCGTTAAGGTCAGTGAAAAGATTAATTAGTCCCAAATGCTTGGTTGCTGAGTCCATTGGGTGTTGAGGATAGTAGGTATATCGGATCGTAGAGCAAGAAACAAAAAACTCAGAGAAACTGAGAAAACAATAGTAGAGGAGTGTAAAAATTTGTATAATGCGGTATTGCGGAGCTATAAAGGCCTTCAAGTAACTGGACCGAAGCGGTTTATGTGTGGGAATGAAAGTACGAACGAAGGTACCTCTTATAAATCATATTATTTTAAGTATCAGAATGATATGCGTTAGTAATGTTTATAAGAAAAGGGGTTGATCCTCAGGAAGAAATTCTATCCATAATGTTTTAGTATCAAAAGAAGAAAGACTGAGATAGTAATTTTGTTCGTTATTCTAAGTAGAACGACCCATTGGTTGGTAAATGGAAAAGTGGAGTAATTTGAAATAGTTTGCTGAATACGCACACAATGCTTCTTGAAAAAGTGATCGGTTAATAAAGTCATATGATTCGTAGTGGCATTTCAAACTTTTGAAGTGGGAAACTTTCGAGATTCTAGCAGAGGTGCATCACTCTTTTACACGCTAGTTTGGCATTCAAATTGGAACGGAAATGAAGAGAAGGAATCGAAAGACAGAGGATGAAGGAGAAGAAGTTGAGCGGAAAATGATCACAAAATCAACAAAGTGTCGTGAGTAGGTGGATCAATAGTGTCGGTAGCTGCCGTGAAGCAGTTTAAAAAGCGCCTTCAGTTTTCAAAATAGGCAACACAAACATCCGATGCGTAAGCATATTTGCATCCTGTTGTTTCACTTTTATGGGTCCTTAACCTACGTAGATATGCAGTTTCATAGCGTCCGTAGTTGCCGATAGTCAATTTTGAAAGCGCCTTCAATCTTCCGAGCGGCAGCTTAGACATCCATCACGCAAGGGTACAAGTATTCTGCTTTTTCATTCCGAGAGGTCATTTTTGTCAATGCGGGTCTCCGCGGTATCCGTCATCGCCGTGAGTCCATGCTAAAAGCGCCTTCAATTCTCCGGATAGGCAATATGAAAATGTAAAATGCAAGAATACTTGGATCCTGCTATATCATTTTGATGGGTCCTTCTCCTGCGGGAACGGGTGGTCTAGTAGTGTCCGTAGTTGCCGTGGGACTCTCCGTCTCCGGTCTTGTAGTGCTGCGGGTGGACGGAGTGGCCGCTCTTGTGGACGACGGCGTTGAAGCCGTTGTGTTTGTCGGCGGTGTACTCCACCGTCCGGATCGTGCCGTCCGGGTCGTGCACCGAGTAAGAGCCCTTCACCACGTCGCCGTCGCGGGTCTCGTGCTGACTCTTCACGTCACCTGTGTGACCGTCGTGCACGCCGTACTTGAACGAGTATTTCGGGTGCGCCTGCAACATATGCAACATTTCAATCAGTCAGATTCAATCAGTCAGATAAGCGAGAAAGGAAAGGAAGACATTTCATCAGTGAAAATATGACCTCTATTCCGGCATTGTCTCGTGAAAGAGAACTTAGTGATATAACTTTCTTCCTTCCGTAATGAGTGTCGCTCCAGGCCGATTTTTTTTCTTCTTTTATTTTAGTTTTTAGTGAGCCTCCTTATACATGGAAATATACACTTTGTTAATAAATATAAAATAAGTATGAATATAGAAACAACCGAGAAGTTCGTAACTTATTTACGTGAAACAATATGAAGTAATAAAATTAAAGGGTCGGACCGGAGGGCTAGCCAGTGGCCAGTTCCCACGGTTTTACCCTTTTGAGGCGTCTGTATTCATTCCTGTTATCCATGAGTTGAACTGCTTCAACATTGGGATAGGAATGGAGACGTCGCTCGTAAACGACTTCGTCGGCCGCAGGCCGGTAACTGACATTGATAGATAGAGCAATAGACAAAGAAAACAAAGAGAACATATAGTAATCCTATTGGTGAAAGTGGGTGGCTGCAATTGTCAAAGGGGTTGAGTATTAAACTAACTAACAGCAACCCATGAGAGATCCTAACTTAGTCCATGATGCGAGTCTCGTATTCCGCTTATTAGAACCGCTCGTTTTAAATAACAGGATTGCTCCATTCAATTTATCATCTTTGTCTATTGCCTCGTTCATCAATTCCAATAATCAGCATGCAGGTTTTACTGGCTCAACAGATTTCTCAACACACTGTTCGCCAGTCATGATTAAGCGAGAAATTATGTTGATTCTCGATAGTAACTTTTAAAATACAGCGTACGGATTATTGAAATTGATAGACAAAGCTATGGAGAAAGAAGACAAAGATGAAATAGAACTACCCTATTGATGGAACTGTGGAAGCAGGTTGATACGATGGCTGAAAAGGGTAAATAATAGACTGACTAATTGCAACTTATGAGAGAGGGAGAGAGAGAGAGAGAGACCCTGCGGTTAATCAATATCTCCCCTTTAGTGTACAAATAAGAACCACATTTTTCAACTAATAGGATCCCTAAATTTTCCCTCTGTCTATAGCTTTGTTCATCAGTTTCAATATTTATCCCACAGGTTTTGCTCGCTCGAAAAATTTCTCTACACATTAGACGTCAGTAATAATTAAGCAAGGCATCGTATTGATCCTCAAAAATAACTTTTGTGATACACAGCAAGTAGGCACTGCGGTGTTAAACAAAATTTTTCTATGCATAGTTTGGGTATGATTCAGTCATTATATTTAATCTACCACTCTTTCAGCCATGTTTGTCATCATGTCAATCATTTTTGTAGCTCCTCAAAACAAATGCGGACCGCTGATTACAATGTGAGAAACCTTGATTTCCACCGATACTCGAAGACCGCACGCCTAACAATGGCACCCTTTCACCGAAATCACGGCCATCGTCGATACTCGGTATTGATTAGTCTCCCCTTGATCCAATCCAAAAACTCAGGAATGCGTCGCTTTAATTTGTTTGGTCAAATTGTCGCTGTGATGTTTTCGAAACGCACTTGTCTGCGTGTGGGGATAAAATCAGAAGTTACCGCGTTACGGAGGGCTACGCGTGTGCAAAACGAGTCATGTTGAATTCTTGTTGCGGTTACCGAAGATGTCGAAAAGTATTGTCCCCCATGCGAGATTGCGATAAGTTTCAAAATACATTCACTTTCTTTATTCAACCACAGTGAGATAGGTCGGATTTTACATACGATTCGGCAACTTTGCTTTTCTAGATCTGTCGCGAATCGCTAACTGGTCTCGCGTGCCTCTACGCTGACAGTAGCGACGAATGGGTGATCGTATGACGGTAGAATAACCAAACATAATTGAGTCTAATTTAAGCCCCAAAAATCCACCCGGGCAGTCGCGTAATATTTATTGTGGACATAGAGACTGACATAAGATGCGCATCCTGCACCTGTATGGTTTGAATCAGGATCCTGGAGGCGACAGCATAGCATTAACTGGACCGAGTTCATCACAAAAGTACCAACCCCCATTTCCAGAAAAAAAAATTGAGTTAATGATGTTTTTGAGTTTATCTAGTTGAATTTTTTTTTCCTGCCAAAAACTCAAAGTCGAAAAAAAAAAATTAGTTCGTAAAAAAGAGGTTAAAGTTTACTTTCTACACTGAGTGTTGTGGAGGAATGAAACTTCAAACCTCTTTTTCTCAGTTTCAACTTAATGTGGGTTGGTTCCTTTCTGATGGACTCGGTCCAACTATGATTACAGAAATACTAAATTAAAATTCCTTTCTTTGTTTTTTTTCCATTCTTATGCCCTCAGAATAAAACCTCTTCTTCTTTTCAAGCAAAGCCTACTATTTCTTGCCACGGAAGGAGGTAACTTACTCAAAATGGCTTTTTTCAGCAAAAGGGAACGAAATGACACCAAAAATGTTGATTTTAAGATAATTCAACTTGCATGCATGTATATTTTGCCCCACAAAAATTTTATGTCTGAAAAAAATGCTCAGTCAATAAAATTTAACTTGAGGTTTGTTCTTTACATAAAATTTTAAGTAGGGTCGAAGCTTTGAACTAACATCCTTCCATATCAAGCCCATTTCATTTACTTCCCTTTCGCTAAAAATCCCCAAATGTTCAAATATTGTCATCTTCCACACAAAGAACGTAAATCCATCCTAATAGTACAAAATGGGCCAAGTCAACTTAATTCCATAGGTGAAAAGTAGTCTAAAATAACCATTCATGATTTTCCTGATTGTACTATGTGAGCACAAAGAAAATCTGAGTCATTTTCAGTTACAGAGAAACCTCAACAATTTTCTAGTAACAATAAGATTCACCTGCGAAAATCTCGCAACACTGAAATGCAGTCATGATCTTTCGTGTGGGATACGAAGAGTGTATCCCCTACGTGTGTACTGTGTAATGGAAATTCCACTACAAGTTTGCACTCTACTTGTGTTTTATAAAACAAAATAGATTAAGCCAAAAAATGGGCTTTTGTGTATTTGTGTGGATTACAGAGTTCAATGTCGCAACACGTTCTCAGAAATCCACTCATTCCACATCGATGGCTAAACTCCAACACTCTGCGTGTCACTTGCAATATGTAAAAAATTCTGCGAGTAATGATTTTTTTTAAGACTAATCAGCGTAACGGTTAAACAAATTTTTATTGGACAATAATAGCATAGTTAAGAACAGAATCAGAAAATTTGAGGCTTAACAATTAATGGCTTTCCTTCTAAAAACTTGCGGTATGCTGGTAAAAGTTCACACACGTTGCAAATTATATACCATGTGTTTTTTGAGTTTCGCAATCAACATGCGCCAAAGTAAAGGTGTTGTAGTAACATTCCAGATGTATAAAAAATGAGCGACAACTCTTGATTGTTATCATTAACACCAGAGTGTTAAAGACAACATCCAAGAGTTGTCGCAAATTTTTTTAACACCTTCTTTTTTTCGAAGTGCTGCCTGTCTTTCTGTTTTTTTTTTTTCACACCTTGCTTATGCCCTCTCCTCTAGTACAGGGGCAAGGAAAACCAAAATGCCTTCAAATCTTCGACTATGCAACAAGGCCATTCCTAAAGCCCGAATAGTTGCTTCCATGTGTTTAACATTGCACCTTTTGAAATAATCATTGATTCTGTGCTACATTCTTCATTTTCATTGTAAATAATGGTCGTAAAGTAGTAATTCACCCATTGATGAAACTTACGTGATAATCCACATGATCGTCGTGGTGACCGTGACCTCGGTAACCACCCTCGTGGTAGCCCTCATATTCATGTTCTGGACTAGGATATGCAGCTACTAACACCAATATACTTGCGAATGCTAACACCTGCAAATACAAAATGTAATATTAAAAATATTATTAGTTTCAGTTGACAACTGGAATTGATTATAAGAGTCACTATAAGTTAATTAACTGCTCTCCGAATATCATGGGACCCGAATGAGTGGAGCTTTTTTTCTTGATTCCGCGTTTAAGTCTCCGATGATATTTGCTCATCCACACTGCAATGGGGTTCTCTATTGGATACTTTTGAGTGAAAATTGGAGTGCACTGATTTCGGAGCCTATATTGCTCCCAAATAACTCAAATTATACTAATTAGGTTTGAATTCCACCACTTAGTAGAGCAGAGAGTTCTATCATCGAGTGAGGTTTACGTCGCACCAAAAAATGTTGATACCGTTGTAATATTCCTCATCGTGCAAAAAGAGGACCGACATAAGTGACCGGTATTAAGGGCATATAAAAAACGGAGCATCCTGGAGCATAAATATGTCGGGGGAAAAAACTCAACATCTTAAATTCATTGGAGTATCACTGAAAAAAAGAATCTTAAATTTGCCGCCAAGAAGTATATCTTCTTAAATCAAGAATTTTGCTGGTTAATATAAACTACTTTTTTGCTTAACCCAAGCATAATTTTTCGTGTGTCAAGAAAAATTCAGCTTAAAGCAAGATAAAACAAATTCTTGACGGCAAATTCAAGAATCATCATGTTTGAGCCAAGCTACTTTTTATTCAGTGTAAAGCGGAGAGCAAGGTAGAATTCATTTTTCGAAACTCATCATTCATCGCGTGGCCATTTCGCAGAATGTTTCCGCACCTAATAACAACTGATTAATTTTGCGTCTCGAAGGTAGCAAAACAAGTTTGTCAAATCTTGTCTATTTGTTAAACAAATTGTTCAACAAACTTTTCGCCATGTATCATGCATTTTTATCATAGTTACATCATGCATTTTCATGCATAGAGGCAGTTCCTCGCTAATCCGGCCTTAGAGGTGACCGTATTTTAGATTTTAATCTCCTCTAATTATTCGATTGCGAATGGCCAAGAGCTCAGGCAAAACATCTCGTTTTAATTTGTGTCAATTTTAGCCTTTTCTCCCCAAGTCATGTTCTTGTGTGATGCATTTTTGCGTTCATAACTAACATTTACTTTGAGGTAACCAACACGTGGTATCTGCGGTAATTTACCTCTCGTCAACGCTAATTTTTTAATAGAGACTTTGCAACATCGACTGAAAAATGACATAAAACGTGGCGAGACGAATCACGTGTGCACACAGCATACGCACTGCGGTTATTTGTGCAGTGTTGCAATACTGGCCCAGGAAATTTCGGAATTCCGTTTGAGCAGTGGATTAAAATGTCTCTGCCCAACCTGAAACACTGGAGCGCATGCACAGGAGCACAACGACCCGATCGTGACAAAATATAAGTTGACCACATCCGCGCACTTATCGTTCAGGAAAAGGAACTAGCGATCGAGCGATCGAAAAATTGCATCGGATAAAACGTTGACACCCATCCTAACCAATGAACCGCAGTTACGTCATAGCGCATGCATCAGTTATGAGCGTCATTTCTCGGACAAAAAACCAAACCGCCACCGAAAAGTCACGTCCATGCAAAAATTAGAATTAGAACTTCACAACTATGTGATTTATTTGCACTTTTCACAGAATGTGATTTGAATCGTTGCAGCTTGCGGAGTCTCAAAGTGATTAGATCTGTTTAAATTTGTACGCCTTATACTAACGGAAATATCTTCTCTCGAAAAACACCCTTCGTGACGTCATTACTCGTAAGTATGCTTACTGGTTTCTCTCACCATACTTTAATGAGTGATATCCGTGGAAAAATCAGTGCAAACGTGTGAATGCCTCAATTTGTCTTTCCTGCGGCGTAACCGCACACTGGAAAAAAAAAAAAAAAAAAATTGGATCTAGAGTCCAGAGTCTTAAAAACATCGACAAGAAAAAATACTCTTGATTCAAACGGATTTTTGCTTGAATCAAGAACCAAGCCTCTTAATTTGAGCGGATTTCCTTTTGATTTAAGCAAAAATCCGATTGAATCCAGAGGCTTGGCTCTTGATCCAAGCAAAAATCCGATTGAATCCAGAGTATTTTTTCTTATTGTCGATTTTTTTAAGAGTTTGGACTCTAGATCCAATGTGTTTTTTTATCCAGTGCATAGCTATGGCTAAAGTGCGAAACCACGTATCTTCTTTTGGGACGTTGCAGATTTCTTGTCATTCTTTATTTCTTCTTTGGAAAGCTAGTCAACATGATACATGTATCTTGAAAACTTCTTCGAAATTTCTTCTCTGTTGGCAGAATATTTTGTATAAATTTGAAGCTGCAGAGTTGACTTGTTCCTCTTTCAAAAAATAAAATAAGATCGGAACTTTTGAAACAACGTAATAGAAGCACGTGGTCTTGCACTTTGGACATTGATATTGTCATTTTTAATAAAGGGCTCTTGAAATCATGGAACTATATAGACAACAAAGCTCATTCTAATGTGCGGTTACGCTGTAGCGTTTTTTTGACAAATGTGTCGCACTAGGTGGTTTTAAAATTTCCAAGTAAACACCCAGATCCATAGAGACATTGCATTCTCTTGTTTTCTCCCAAGACTACGTGTAAAACTAAAATTACATCAAGGAAAAATAGTCGGTATTATTTTCAGTCATACGAGCAACTACCAAGTGCATACTATCAGCATAATCAAAGCGCGTATGCGCTACGCAAGCGGTGTTGAAACCGAAATCTCGCACGTAAAACTATAACTCCACCGAACTCGCTGCCAAATCTCAGACAAATATTGTATGCAGAGAGATATGCATCATATTTAAACCAAATCCGCATTTGAAATTTGACAACGTTGCTTTCGGCCGGCGTCCGTTCTGGATCCTTGCGTCCGGTGATCGGTGCAAACTCGGAAATTATTTCTAAATTGATTCCAACTAATAGCCGCAAAAAACAACAGAAACGACAGCGCTCGTATAGCCGTTATAGAGGAAGTTCTTGTTTATTGATAGTTTCCGTACAAAACGGTTGCCTGTCCTTGTTATTTAAAATAATTGCACCATTTTCAATATCAGAGTGTTTTCTCTCAATTTTAGTCAACACTCTTTCTACAATTATCTCAGATCAAGAGGGAGAACATGCGATAGTATTATGAGTGACACTAGGGTGTTCCGTTTTCAGACAACCATCTCAAAACCTTGCTCCCCGGGCTTTTTCCCATTCCTTTTGGTCCACAAAAGATAATTCTGAAGTTTCAGCACCATAGCTGAAGTCTACACTTTCCCCCAAAGCGATGCAAATTTTGGAAGAAATTACATTGGTTTAAATGGGGAGAAAATAGGCAAATTCCCGGAACTACGTTTTTCGGTTGTAAAATGCGCCGAAATGATTTCAGACCTGACCATCTCTTGGAAAGTGATCCAGAGGCCTATTTTGAACGAGAAAATTCCACTTTTGACCCCAAGAGGGGGGAGGGGGGGGGGCAGGGCGCAGTTAGTTTTGAGGCGCTGCGCGCAGCAAAATGCTCGCATTTGACAGTTTTTGATCAACCTCAGAACAGGTCCTCCGAAGCTGAGGAGGCTAATGTATCTCATAAATTGTAATGAAATAATGTAAAAGAGTTGTTTTCATCCCCTCAGAACTATTTTCGACCATTTACACTGTTGCCAAATTTACTCGAACCTGGAAGGGAATTAGTTTATATCATCTTCTTCACTTGAGTGATTGCGAGCATTTTGCTGCGCGCAGCGCCTCAAAACTAACTGCGCCCTGACCCCCCCTCCCCCCTCTTGGGGTCAAAAGTGGAATTTTCTCGTTCAAAATAGGCCTCTGGATCACTTTCCAAGAGATGGTCAGGTCTGAAATCATTTCGGCGCATTTTACAACCGAAAAACGTAGTTCCGGGAATTTGCCTATTTTCTCCCCATTTAAACCAATGTAATTTCTTCCAAAATTTGCATCGCTTTGGGGGAAAGTGTAGACTTCAGCTATGGTGCTGAAGCTTCAGAATTATCTTTTGGGGACCAAAAGGAATGGGAAAAAGCCCGGGGAGCAAGGTTTTGAGATGGTTGTCTAAAAACGGAACACCCTAGAGTGACACCTAACATATAATTATATCTTTTCGATCTCAAGTTGGGTCAATTAAATTGATTCGTATTTAACTACATTGATTTTGTTAGTTTTTGAAGTATTATCTACATTACTATTAAGTTTTTGAAGGTAAGAAATGTTTTTTTTTTCCTTTAAATTTTTATCTTTTCAGTAACATTCTTGCGCATTCTCGTCCCTCCCCTTCCCATCTACCATATATAGCTCCCTCAGAAGAGATATAGTCGGATCAATTTGACCCAACTTGGATTCGTAGAGGTAGTCGCTAAAAAATATTCCTGACACGACACAACTCTCACCAAAATACCAATGTTTAGACTTGCGCTTTTAAAATTCTTATGGGATGCCTAAACATGTTTTTTATTTTTTATTTCCTTTTTTCTAAGTAGATTATTGATTTGGACACAGCATATTTTAAGCAAACTTAAACCTTAACCTTTCTCAAACGTCATAAATATGAGACACCTCAACGCGCGTTGATGATAGCACAGAGATACAACTATTCGTGCGTGATGTATGTCCATGTTGCATGAGTGAAATTGAAGGCGTGAAGCAAGGATGAGCTTGCAATGCTCAGCTCTATGCCGCAAGTGAGGTGTTGCTCATATTCAGGAGGAAAGTTTAAAACCGAAGACCGATTACGTATATTCTATTTTCGGCTGTGTTGCTCACATAGCCCTCAAAGCATCAATACAATAGGACAACCGGCACCAACGCAACATGGAATTAAGGGCGCGCGTTGTTAACGGCGCAGAGATACAACTATTCGTACTTGATGGATGTCCGTGTTGCAGCTACAAAATTGTAGGCGCGAATGCGCGAGGTGTGAACTCGCAATGCTCCGCTCTATGCATGCACATGAGATTTCGCTCAGATTCGGGAGAAAAGTTAAGAGATGAGACTCGAATACGTATCTCCTATTATCGGCTGTGTTGACTCTCAATTTTTCCCCTTTTTTTAATTTGATGTGTAATTATTTTTAAGGTATATCTATAGACCTATATTATGCTGCTCTTATATTCCAGCTGACTCCACAGCTCCTTAAGAAGAGCTGGTCGGGTCAATTTGACTTTACGGAACAGCATGTGAAGTTGCATACACAGATACTTCGTAAAATGAAACTACGATTTCTTTCAAAAGAAAAGCTTAACATTAAGAAGGTATCAAGCTAAGCAGGAAGAAGCCAACACCACTTTGCACCGTGTTCGCCCAGCTCCCCCTCGAAATGTAAAAGTTCAAAATATATGATCCTGTATGATGACGCTCGTAGCAATTCTATCTTCAGCTGAATGTTACAAGTTTTAAAAGTATGAGCTCAATGTTTAGCATGATATCGTTTTTGCAGTTAAATTAAAAATAGCTCCCAACTCCATATTCTTAAAATGCAGATCTCTTTTTTTCTACGGAAAACCAAAGGCCAAGGCAAGGTTTGAAAACCAAGGCTCATCTCTACCAAATTTTCTCCACCGAACACAATTTGTTTGCCACCGAAAATGTCCCTCAACTTGATAATCCCTTCTTCAAGGTAAAATAAACAGAAGTTTCAAAAATATCTTTGAATATTCTTATCTAACAAGGGCTATCTCTTCTTCTTCGGGCCTAGTGTTTTTGGTACTGATTTTCCTTAATGATTATCAAGCATTTTCTAAACGTACGTCGGTTAACGTATCTTATCATGTGCCCAAAGTTCTATTCGTAACCTCCTATTAATGTCATTTTTGACAATATTGTGCTCCTATCCTCTTAAGGTCCGAAATTACCATCATCGTTCAAGAACTGCTCCATCAAGGAGAGAAAGATTAGGACCAAACAAATTGAGACGCGAGACTACCGTGGCCCCTGATGCAGTAAAATGTCACAGAAAATATGATTGAGCTCTCTTTTCTCGCCAGAAATATTCGATTTATTGTGATTATTCAATGCTATTTGAATAATAATCAGATCATTAAACAGATTATTAAACAGAGAGAGAACGAGAATACCAGAGGCATGCATTACATCCTGAATTGTAAAATCAGCACACACATAATCCATAAAGCGCACAGCCGAACGCGTGTTACTAATACTCATGCAAACGAACTACCAAACACTTCATTGGGAGGAAAGATGACAATGCCTTTTGCACCACAGAATTGAAAAGATAAAATTCTGCAACAAATTGACGGAAACATAGTCCAGAGCGAAACCGAAGGCACAAGTATGGAGCCAATTTTGAGCACTAAAATATATATCCAAGATAATTCCGTCGCACAAAATAGAGGTTTCACAAATTCAGCGAGTTCCCGACAGTGACACGAATAGTAATTAAAATCGATAAAAATTTGGAGAAATAACTACCTTAAAGAACATTTTAGGAGCGGACTGGACAGACCACCGGAGCGTAGGAAAAGTAATTGAAAAATTCGACAAAATTAAAGTGATGGCGTTATATATACCCCATTGGGTATTATCAGGCGTGAAGCGGTGGTCCCGGGCAGTGAAAGTGGGGCAGACCACAGTCACATTACCATTACTATTACTGTCATTACCATGTCTTTTCTTGCCTGCATCTGTGTGTTTTAGCGTCCGAGGCAGGCTTGCAAGATCTTGGAAAATCGTGGAAAATCGTGGAAAATCGTGGAAAATCTTGGACGTGCCGCGGACGGAGCTGTAGGATCATGAGCTCCTTTGACCTGAAATTTTAGCGATCATTTGGTGATTTCATTGGTCATTTTCAGTTCCTTTTTGGCTTTTTTGCCCTAAGGTGCCTCCCTCTTAATAATGTTTTTACCTTTAATCTCTTTCATTGAATACATATGGCATCATCGCTGTACTCAACTTAGGAGTTTGGTCAAATTTCCAGACAGATTGCCGTGTTTTCTGAGGACTTAAACGTTTTTCATGTTACTCATGAGAAACATTCAATTTTTAAGCGTTGTAAGAGGTAAACAACCTTTAAATTATCGACTATTCTTAAATTGTATTGTCTAACATGTTCGTAAAAAGAATTACTTTTAAATTTTCAAATATTATGCATTTTATGAAATGTTGAGATCGAATGAGACGGTGATAGATCATTGATGCCAAACAGACCATCGTGCATAGCATCATGACAAAACAACTCATCTAGTACCTATGGTCATTTTTGGAGAATGACAGGAAACAGGCTGCCAAAGAAGGCCTTGATTCGGTTCTTTTTGGGAACGGACGCAGAGGATGCCCAATGAGAGGTTGGAGGGATGGAATTGAAGCAGAAATGTTAAGGTGTTCAATGCCCGAAGGGTTGTGGTTCGACAAGAGGCAGTGGTGGCTAGGTATTGTGGAACGCCAATGAGCACCATAAACCGACTTATATGCATGCATGAAATTTTTTGTGATTAAAAAAAATAGTATCTTTTTTAAACATCATTAAAACAAATATAAAAGCATGCTGAAGGAGGAGCATGGATGAAGGGCGTTTTTTGGCCCTCCTTGGCTTTTTCCCGACTTCGATTTTTTGCTCATTGAAAGTATATCTTTTGCGGAACGCAACCTCATTTGGTCTATGTTGGTCTCCTTTGTGGGTCTGAAGACCGATTTTGGCGAAAAATGCGAGTTTTGCGGGTTACCGTAGAATGCCACCAAAATCCACTGTTTTCGCCAAAATCTGGTTTTGGACCCAAAAATACCAAAGTAGACCAAATTATGATGCATTCCATAATATATGGACCCTCAATCAGCGAGAAATCGTAAAGTCAAGGAAATGCAGCAAGGGTGAGCCCTAAAATATCCCTAATTGATACTCCTTTTTCACAGAGGATTTTATCTACAATTCTACATCAATCATTTACCTATCAATAATTAGGAAAATCAGAATTCCAGTGTCAGAGAGAGTAATCCCCTCCCTGTATGGACATCTGAAAAAACGTCTGATTCGTAAGCTATCGATAAACCTCAGATAAATAGGATATATTAGAGCCCATCTGGCACCTTTGCTTCGGTCCGTTTTTCCGCACACAGTGGTTGCATTCTTCGGTCACCTCTCGCAGACGCCCTCTCATTGGCTGCGGCGGACTGCGCTTTCCTTCTTTTTTCAAGGTCCTCCGCACCTCCTCCCCCTCCCACAATCGCCCGTTTACGAATTTTTGATTTAAATATGTCCCAAACGAGCAATTATGACTGCGATTTAATTTTGAAATCGCGATTGTTTCACTGTTGAATTGCTCTCGATACATTGCGCCATGACAGAGTTTATTGGTGCCCTTCATTTGGATGAAATTAGTGGACAGAGCAAATCGAAGATATCAGCGGAACTTCAGTATTTTCAGGAGGCGATTACGAATATTTTTGCTTGAGGGAATTTCGTCCTTTCTCAAAGGCAGAAATACTCTTCTCATATCTTAATTTTGGCAATTGAGGTACACGTGAGATGAGTGCGATTTCCGGCAAATACACTAATTGAAGTATTTTTTAACAAATAAATTGGTAAAAACGTTGCACATAATTTGGACAAAATTTTGGAATTAGGAACTCGAAGCTCATCCAGAAAAAACCTACCTGCATGGGGAAACTTATGGCACACATGATGTTTCTAACATGAGCCAAAAATTGTGGTTCCCAATTGGGATATATAGTCCATTTAGCCCAATGGTGACCCTTTTAGACCCAAAAATAAGGGCAGTTCCGGATAAAAAGTAGCAGATGACGATTGCCCCTCTTCTGCATTCTAGGGTTGACGCCCCCAGGAAAAAGGTTTACTAAAAATTTTGCCAAACTTATCAGATTACAGGTAAATGCAGCAGAAATTTTTCTGATAAATGGTGCATCAAATTGGTATTTAAATTTTGCGGTACTATAAACATCATTTGGACGTATTTCTGCCAAACGGAACAAAGCGCATTAAGACATGAGCCATGAGACCCATAAGAATTAATACTCAACAGGGCGCACGTCATGATGCACATAGTTCCGTTTGCCATAAATACGTCCATTTTTATATAGTTTTCTTGCAATTTCCTGCATTTTTGAGCGCGAGACACTCTTGATGGTGCTAGAGTGGCTGCGCTAACATTAATCCTCGAGTGACCATAAGAAATCTACCCCTAAAGGCACTCTGGCTCAACATTCTGTATGACTGGATAATTTTTGGTTATATATATCCCAGTTCAATTCACAAAGCGAGACACATTGTGGACAAACTAAACCAGTGGAAACACAAAGAAAAACTAGTCAATGAACTTATTGGCTCCAAATAGCGAGCGAAGGCCTCCGCTGGCAGACTTGGCAAAATTTGGCAATTTGCGAAAGAAAAGTTATTCAATTTCAATCTGAAATAAACTAATTTGGCAACGTCCGAAAAGTGTCCCCTTCATTGAGCCATAGAAATACGGTTTACTCAGCCAGCAGGTCTAGAGTCTGGATCAGCATAACCTTGACCAAGAAACGGTTGAGGAAGCGGTGAGGCGTGAAAATCCGACCACTGACAAACAAACCACAGAACGAAATCAAACGATTTTTCGTGTTTTTATAACTAATTATCTCTAATAAGCTCGTTTTTCTCCGATCAAATGTCGCAATCGTTTATATCGTGGGGCAACTGTGTCTGCTGAAAAATTAAGCAATTCAGTCGCAGCCACCGGATGAAATCAAGGAAAAGATTCGCCAGAATCCGAGACCCTCCTCTGCCGCGCTCTCAGTAGAACTAGGGCAGAATTTTTTTCATAAGTAAAAATTTGCCGAGCTGGCCTTCGTTGGACTGAGTCAGACCCCGTTGTAACAAAAGTAACTCTAATACCATCCTGATAACCAGTGGCGTGGCGTGAATAATCGATTATCGATATCTCGCCATTTGAAGCTATGGTAAAGAATCGACTACCAAGGTGTTCGCTGCGAACACCCTGATAATCGATCTTTTTTCATAGGTTTAAATGGCATAACAATCGATATATCGAAATTCACGCCACGCCACTGCTGATAACGTCAGTCCAGAGGCCTCCCCCTGCAAATTGTTGGAATTTCAAAGCATCTTTGCTGCAGTTCAGGTCAATTTCGTCATGAATAATTACCAAATGTAAGCGTCTTTCCCTTCTTCCTTCCTCCGCTCCTTCCTTCTTTGGTTCTCTTTTTGTTCTTTTTTTTATCGGTCAAGCGAGGAGATGGGGGACGTGTGCCCTTTACTGCCGTGATAAGGAATAACTCCGTATGAGCCAAATTTCTCCGGATAAGACATGTATTTTTTAGGAAAGTTATTCTTATTTTTCCTTGAAATTTTAGGATATTTTAGGTTAAAATTGCGTACGAAACTGTCTGAAAAATTTGGAAAAAAATATTCACAAATTTCCCAGTAATTTCCCTTTTTATCGAACGAAACTTGGCAACGTCAAAAGGCTCATACTGCGTTCTTCCATAGCCCGGCTGTATACTCCCCTACTCCTGGATTCGCCTATGCGTCTGTCTCTGTCTGAAATCACCATAGTTTGTGTCGGTACGGTTTGTGTGACGTCATTCACTAACGTGGTGAGAAAAAGCACCCGTATGAGTAATTGGACGTTATCAAATTTTCTCCCCAAAAATTTGTAATCTAATTCATGCAATTTCTTTCATTCGACTAGTTTGAAATGATATCTCTTAAAATTAAAAGTAAGCTCCATCGTAAATTGTGAGCTAAAAGGCAAAAAGAAGGAAGAAACATTGATCAGGCTCAGACTTTATATTTGAGTAAACATTTTCTCAATCAATCGTTTGACATACATTTATGTATGCACGCATACTGTATACACAGTTTGTGTCAAGAAAAATATGATAAATAGAGGGGGGTAGAGGTAGACCTTTGAATGGAGATAAGCCAAGTCCTGATGGCTTGCTCTTGTACAATATCAACCACAATAGGGTACTGCCAAGACTTAAATTACCTACGGCCGGAAAATACTAGGGTTAAAAATCCGGTAGACTTGTAATTTTAAGTAGATAGAATTTTGGTAGCTCAAACATAGATAATTAAAATAGTAAAATAGAAAGACAAGGCTAACCCATCGGAAATCCGATACGTTTCGGGACCAAACAGCTCCTTAATCAATATACATAATCATTTAATCATTAATTGATTCATTCCTCAATTATTCATTTAATTATACTTGCGATAATTTTTCCTGTAAATTAGAGGCCATTAATGAAATACCATGACCTATGACAACCTGTATTCAAGAGCATTAAAAAGGAATTTTAACCGTGTAACGAGGCGTGTAAAACATACGGCACACATATGACTTAACAGCAACTTACGGACAAAATAGAGAATGAACTGCACTTGAGCTACGAGGAAAAATGCGCCTTGATTTGCTCATTCAAAATCCTCAACTCTGTGGGTGAACGGAAGAATTTATTGCCAGCCAATGCAAAAGAAAATTGAATGAAAAAGTTATTATTGAGCGTCATTGTCCTAGCATCCACACGGCCACTCATGGTTGCAAAATTGCACCAAAACTCTCCGACTTTGATTACTGTGAATCGGACTTCAAGAAAGGTCCTTATAGATCGGGCAACAATGGCGTCAATGATGACGTGATGGCGCAACGAGTCGGTCGGGATAGAACGTCGGTGATTGTAAAAATGCGCGCAATGTAGACTCGCAAAAAATTAGATTTGAAGTGTTAATGAATGCTATTCGCATGGATTCGATTGGCTGACAATGAGCCTGGTGGGTTAATTCTCCATTCTATCACGTGCGTATGTGTCCCGTTAGAACTACTTGCAGGTGACGATGTGGACAGGTATGAATTTTAAGTATTGATATGTTATCAGTTTGGCCAGTGGGAATCGTAGAATTTATAATCCCGTATGAAATTTGGCCAGGGAATAATCTCCTGCTGGATATAAGGGCTGAACAATCAAGAAGAAGGAAAGGTGATTGAGGCAGAAATTGACTCGACCCGCCAGAAAAATTTGGAAATTTTCCACGGGTGAACTCTCATTTTCTGTCGATCTTAGTACTAGTTTGAGTTTGAGTAGAAAAGGGCCTGGCACAAAATTGCTGAGATCAGACGGTTTTTGACTAGCTGCCCGATTGCAGTAATTAATACCATTTGATGTAACCTTCTGTTAATAAGTCCTCCGTTAGACGTGAATTTAAAAAAAGTATTACAGTTTGTTTATGATATTATTGTCAGTGCATGGTTATAGGACATTTCGTCAACGATTTTTTGTCCACGCACTTGTTTTTCCAGTTGTTTAAGTCCACGCGTTTTCTCGGTGAAAGAGTTTTGATCCACGTACCTATTGAGACCCAAAGTCAATTGGTCCACGTATAAAAACAAAGTCCACAAAGTGCACATGGCCAAAAGTATTCGTCTCGGCGCAAAGCAGAGTCACGTCTTCGAGGCCTCAACAAGGAAACGTCGCAAAAAGATCCGCCGTCGTTACTTCGGTACCGGAACGGTGCCGTAGTATCTTTACTTATTTTGCGAGGAAAGCTCCTTACTTTCAAAGGATGCCTGTCATTCTTGATACGTTGGAGCGCCTTCAATTTCGTATGATGCAGTACAACATCTCTGTTGCGAAATTGTTGCTTTAAAGGACGTGGTACGCCGCCCCGCGGCGGCGGGCGAGTGTGACCAGCGCGACACGCGCATTGGCGCCTACAAACCTAACAAGGATACTTCACGCATTGCGCACTGCGTGAAGTATCCCTGTTAGGTTTGTAGGCGCCAGTGCGCGGCACGCTCTGGCAGTACAACGCTTCGACCCGTGTTCGGATCTAATATTTAAACTCGCAGAGTCAGCGTTAGTCGAAATGATGAATCAAAAGGAGAAAGTAAAATTTCATTTACAAAATGAGTTATCATAACAACACTCCTTCTCTCTCAATTTACTCATTTCAATATTGTCATTATAATTTTACACACGGACTATAAAAAATGACGCTTGGACCGCAAGTCACTGATGCCAATTTTACACAAGGACTTAAGCTACTGGGCAAAACAGGTGCGCGGACAAAAAACCGTTGACAAAATGTCCTGAAACCTTAATGGTTTTTCATTTGTTTTATGAAAAAATCATGGAAAGATGCATCTTCTAATTAACATCTCGGTGATTATATTTTCAATTCTTTTTAAAAAATATAGCACGAAAGATCGGCCGTTCAAAATTCTGTCATGCTTAAAACCAAGCGTCATCTTATCTACGATCGGAGATAGGAAAGTGACAACTCCGACTATTAATTTGTATCCAATCCGTAGCACTATAACAGACTCAAAAAAATTCGATGTTGATTGTAACGCCTTGATACAACTATTCGTGTTCATGGGATGTCCGGGTTGCATACTTGAAATTTGTAGGCGTTTTAATTTGGTTTCCCCTGACTGCGGTGTGCATGCGGCATGACGCACTGCCGCTGATCGCTGATCGCTGATGATGTATTGCTACGTGCGGAAAGATAAAAAGGCCAAGAGTAGTGAAAGGTGGTCATTTAATGCCCCACATCATGAACGCACGGAGAACTGCGGATTATTTTAAGGTCCTTTAGGCTACATTTGGCTGTTAACTACTGTAGAGACTTTCAAAATATTGATTGACGTGATCCTCCTGGTTGGATCCATAGTGAAAGTTCAAAACCAAAATACGTTTCCCAAATTAATAAATCAAGTAGAGAGAAAACTCTCCTTCGTTCACTCATTGTAAAATCCCTTCTAATCTAACTTATTTTCGATGCGAAGAAAGTAATTTTTTTTTTTTTTTTTTTTTTTCAATATTGTTAAATATTTTGAGCTGGTGATTTTGGATTGGAAAAAAATGTCAGAATAATTTTAAAAAACGTAAAATCTCTGTTTATCTTTTCCAGAAAAATAAACAAAATTGTCTGAAAAATAGCTTTGTTTAGATTGCCTGCATGCCGTTTAATGGAGGTCGACTCTCGAAAATAATTAAAGGCGAGACATGTTTCCATTTATTTACAACTTTACATAAAATTTAACATAATACAACTAATTTCACTTACATTTACTTGCAAAATATGAAAAGCAGCATTGACAGTGTTGTGACAGTTTATTGACTGTTAAATGGGGCAGTGGTTAGCTCAATCATTGAGTAAATTACTCCAGTTTGAGAACTGTGGCTTTAATTTTTAAATTATACTTGGCAGTTGAAATAAAATGTTTTTAAAATTTTTAAAGAGACACAAACGACAATTTTTCAATGGAAAGGAAAATATAGATGAGGCCGTGAACGTATTCTGCCGGACTAAAGTAGAACACCATGCGAGCATTTGGACGGTGCCAAAAATCTTCCGATAAAATTGAATTTTCTAGAAAACTTGTGAATCCTTCTATTCAAGTTTTCTAGTGAATTTTATTCAAAATTTGAACTTTAGTGCTTCCGAAAACTTCCAGGAATATTATTCACAACTTTACCCTCTAAAAAATGTCAAAGAGAGAAAATATTTGGCAAAATTCGAATTCTCCAGCGTTTTTCTTTACCAAGACATTTCTAACCTGAATTTAAACAAATCATTGCCCCCCCCCCCCCCCCNAATAAAAACGTAACTGTATTTCGCGATAGCCTCTGTTCTTCATATAGCCCAATGCTTTCCCAAGTTCGTCTCAAAGAGTAGTTTGGCCCCTTTGTTAGCCAAACGAGAAAATGAGACCTACCCCCAGCGGCGTTCTCACAAGTTGGCAACACTGTTTTTCTTCCATTTAAATCCATTAAAAATATCGATTCTAGGCGAGGCAAGCTGTCCAACCCAGAATCGATTGTTTTACATACATTAAAATAGAAGTGTTGCTAACTTTCAGGAACCGCCAAAACATTATCACGCCTTAATTTTGTCATCATAGTAAATTATTCTAGTTTTTGGTTCACTGGACGGAGATGGAGGGGGCAATGATGGCGATGGCGATGGTGGTGGTGGGGAAGGAGACGAAACTACAGTAGGAGCCGGAGATGAGGGTTGCTGACCGCTATCCGCAGGGACCGGCGCCGAGGCATATGGTATCGGCCCGGGTGGCAAATTCCCAGGGGGTAAGTATCTACTCTGTCCGGTCTGCACGATATCATACGGTCTACGCCCACCTTGATATCCCGGAGTATGCCTGTTGACATCCGGCTCAACGTACATCCTCTGCTTCTTCAACGCGTTCGTATCCAACGGATCGTAAGGATCGCCGTAGTAGTTGGTGTAGTACTCGGAGTCGGTGGGTAGTGGTCTCGGACTACTAGGACCGGTCTGCTTCCCGGTGGGTCTGTTGAAGAGGTTATACTGGTTCGGGTCCACTTCTTGCGGGACGACCTTGACATACGGTGCGATGTTCACGCCGTACGGATGGTTGAAGTGCTGCACGCTCAGCTGGTTCACCCCCGGGGAATCGATGCTGTTGAGGTGCTCGTTGATAGGCCCGTTGAGGTTGTTATAGTTCATGGGAGGGGTGTTAGGGGTGGCCGTGGGGTAGGCCGCCGGAGGGATGATAGGGTTGCCGGTAGGGGGCATGTCGGGGATGTTGACGGGACCGGTGTACGAGGTGGGAATCGATGGCGGGATGTTGAATGTTGGTTCGGTCACGGCTTGGTTTGTTTGGATCGGGGGCCCGTTGTACTGGCCGTAGCCCTGGGGAAGAACCACCTGTTGGTTGTTGTTCTGGTATTGTTCCTCTTCAGGAGCTTCAGGAGGGGGGTATTGGTTGTACTGGGGGTCCGGTCCCGCGGGGGCGCCATTGATCTCGATGTTCATCGGGGCGGCCGGATACTGGGTTGGATATTGCTGGTTTGGGACGAGGTTGTAGGGTTGGTTGTTTAGTTGGTAGTTCACTTGGGGTGGGACGTACGGTTGGTTGTATTGGCCGTTGACGGGGGGCGCGGCTTGGAACTGTTGGTTCTGCGGGGCCGCGTACTCGCCTTGAGGTACTACTTGAGGGATCCCTTGAGGGACCCCTTGTGGACCACCTTGGGGTGGAGGTTCGTTGAGAGGGTAGCGGTAGGTCTGCTTGGTATAGTCGGCGGGTACGTTGAGCACGTAGGGCTGTCCGCTTGGCTGTGGGAGGGAGTTGAGAACCGGTTGCAAGGGTTGTTGATTACTCGCGTAGTTGGCCCACTGGAATAATTAAAGATAATGATAGTAAATCATCATTACTACAATGAATTGGAAACTTTCATCGTTCAAATATATTATCAAAAAATGTAATTTTGAAATTAAACGAAAATTCCAATATCGGAATTGCCTAAGGATAAACATGTAAATTTGAATTTACCTAAATTACCTGTAAATTCAGATAGGATAATTTTGACTGTAAAACTTTCGGGGTAACAAATATGATACTTCTCATTTTAAGTATAGCTAATCACAGTATGTATCTTGTTAAAGAAGCGGGCCCTAAAACTTACTTAATCGCATCAATATCCAAGTCTTAATTTCATTTGTGCGCTCTCCAACAACTTTTCCATCATTACACGCGTTTTTCTCATTTTCACACCAAACTTCAAAAAATTTATCATTTTTCTCCCTAAAAATAGATGGCTATAGTTAAAAATGCATATCGTCAATTGTGACATTGCAAATTTCCACACGTGTTCAACTTTTCGAAGATGAACTAATCAATAGAGCTACTTAAAATGCCGGTTAATCGCCTGTCCATAAAATAATATCAAAATCGGAGATTTGGAAACGTTGCAAGGAAATGAGCAATTTTCAACGTCATCCATCAAAATGTGCAAGGATAACAAATTTTTATTTGAGGAAACGCGCACTCTCGCAAAACCATTTAAGTCAAATCATATCAACAGCTAAGGTCGGAAAATGAATTTTTCTAATGGCATCATTGCAAATATTTTCTCATGTTACTTTCTTGCTATTTTTCTAATGGCATCATTGCAAATATTTTCTCATGTTACTTTCTTGCTATTTTTCTAATGGCATCATTGCAAATATTTTCTCATATTACTCTTCTTGGACGTCATGTCCAGGCAGTTGTGCTGGTATGGACATGTGCAAAGAATGTCGGAGGAGAGGTTGCCCAAACAAGTTTTGGATTGGGTACCACCTGGGAAGAGGCGACGGGGACGTCCCGTAAAGGGTTGGCGGCAGGGCGTTGACGAAGAGATGTTGCGGTGTCAGTTGCCCGATAACCTCTGAGAAGACAGGCATATGTGGCGTTTGGGTGTCGTAGAACGCCAGAGTGCGTTGTGAAACGACTTTATATATATACTTTCTTGCTTCCTTTACAGGTAAAGATTTATTTTTATCCACCCTTTTTTCCTTTTTTTTTTTTTAGAAACTAAACCGACAGTAGCTCGAGAAATTCTCTGTGTGTTTTTCCTACTCTTCCAAACAACTGCACGTAGAAAACTCCAATGAATACTTTGGTTAATTTTCCCTCTAAAGAGATGCGACATAGCGTAGTCCTTCTGATGTAAGGGCGTATCTCAATCTCCACGAGGGCCTTGCTTTACACACAAATTCATGCTTTGTAGGGCTCACGTAGAAATCGACATACGCCCTTACACCAGAGGAACGACGACGATCGGAGATTTTCAAATGATGTGATAGACATGCCGAGGACTTAAGGAACAATACAGCCCATTTACCAACTTTGACGAAAATTAATTAGCAACTTTCCCGCGTTTTTCAGTATAAATTACGCAAGAATGGACCACTAGACAAGGTACGAATTTGAGCATTCTGATACATGTTTCTTGACCAAAATTTCACGTAAAACACGATTCGCGCAACGAAAATTACCGAAATCAACTCCTAACAAAGATATTAACGTTTTTATTTCACATTGGTTACGAGGAATTTGAACTGCCCGCTCATAAGAAACTCAAAGCTCTACGTGAGTCAACTCGTGCACTGCTACGGTTTCAGCAAGCTTCTCAATCGAGCAATGTTCATTTCCCAGCTTGTGTTGTTCAAACTATAAGCAACCTGCTATAACTGAGCCAAAGCGTCAAGATTGAGGTTGCCAGATTTTTACATCGCAGAGACTGCCATGATAACGTTTAGCGCGCGACGTGAGTCACGTAGAGCATTGAGTTTCATGAGCGGGAGGTTTGAATTCACGCATCAAGAATCATTAAATATCTTCGTAAGGAGTTGATTTCGGTAATTTTCGTTGTGCGCATCGTGTTCTACGTGAAATTTCGGTTGTGAAACGTGTATCAGAGTGCTGAAATTCGTGCCTTGTCTACTGGTCCATTCCGCGTGGGAGCGCTGTAGAGGCACTGAAATGTACTTAAAAAAATTGCAAATCTAACCACAAAATGGGATTAATTGCAAAGTTCCTTCTTTGTCCTGCAAAATCGTCAGTTTGCAGATAGGCGTTGTTGTTCCTTAGCCATGTATACGGATTTTCCAAGTTGAGCAATGATAATATAGTAGGTACCTGCGACGCAAGATTTTGGGTGAAGTCCTGGATCTTGGGCGCGATCTTCTCGTAGAAACCCTCCTGCTGCGGCGGCGGTGGGGCGTTCTGCTGATTGTTGTAGGTCAGGGTCTGCGGGGGCGCTCCGTTCCCCTCTTGCTGGACGGTGACGTACTGCCCGTTGGTCCCGGTGAGCTGCCGTTTCCGCCGGAAGTGGGGGTCGTCCTGGTCCAGGAGAAACTCCAAGTCCTTCTTGTGGAGCGGCGAGTTGGGCGGCAGGTCTATCTTCCCGCGAGCATAGGACGAAGACGATGACGACGCTGATGATTCAACACTCCGTTTGGCGATGGATCGGGTGGTATCCATGCCGGTATGGATCTCCTCGGTGACGGTTTTGCCATCGACCTCGCGGCGGACGAGGATCTTGTCGGGGATGAAGATGTAGAAGTCGGAGGCGTTGCGTCCGTGGTACGGGTGGGAGGAGGGCCGGGCGTGGATCTCGTGGAGGGAGGAGGCGGCCTGGTTCAGGGAGTCGATGGCTGAGATCAGGAGCGGGGATTTCGGGATGTGGATCAGGTCCTCGTCCGAGAGGTGTTTTATCGGCTCCAGTTTGTCCTCGATCCCGGCTGCGTCGATGCTCTTGGTCGAGTTGTTGTCCGCTTTTTCCACCAGGGCCCTAAAAATTCAACGTTATCATTCAATGACTTGATCAAGACTTTGGAGTGGCATTCAAGCATAGACGGCTATAGGACATTTGGACTGCATTTTGCAATTTGGACCTTTAAATTCTAGCTCATCTGAAAAAACACTTATGTGCATAGGGAAACTAATGGCACATACGTTGTTTTTCAACTGGGCCGGAATTCATAGTTCCAAATTGCAAAAAGCAGTCTATTTTGTCGACGATTTTTTGTCCGAGCACTTGCTTTTTCCAGTAGTTTAAGCCCACGCGTTTTTTCAGCAGGGGAGTTTTGGTCCACTTACCAATTATTGAGACCCAAAGTTAATTGGTCAACATGTAAATACAAACAACATTTGCTCACGGCGTTTTTGGATGAAATGTACGATGTCTTGGAAGGAAGAGGGTTTGCTCGTTTTTTATTTGTTTAGTTGGCCAAACGGGATCAAATATATAATAGAGAATTTTGGCGTCAATTCCATGGGGGAAAATTCACTAAAACTCTCTACACCTCTTTGGTGCAACATGGCTTAATTATCATGCAAGAAAATCCCATCTTCTTGTACCTGAACCGGATGAACCTTTTGACTTTCCTCAGCTGAAAGCTCCTAGATTTTGCCTTTGTACGATAACTTCGCGACAGCGCCGGCGTGCCACGGCGCTTCAAGGTACTATTTCGCCATGAAGGTGTTGCACAGTGTCAAGTTTGAAGGCACCCCAACGTATCATGATTGATGGCATCATTCAAAAGCACGAAGTTCCCTCGCAAATTAAATCGAGTGACGACGAAAAAAAGAGAGCTATAATCGAAAAACTTGCTAAGTCCCAGTATCTGGATCCAGTAAAGTTTAGCATGATTTTTGAACCTAATTAGAGGAAAAAGTGACTTGACTCAAGCAGAAATATGCTAAAATTTACCGCCAAGAAGATTTGCTTATCAATCAATAAATATAATAATGCCTGTTTAGAGAAAAAAGGATGCTTAAATAAAAAGAAAAGTCACTTAGATCAAGCAGAAATCCGCTTTCATTCAGCTACTTTATTCTTGATTCAAAATAAAATCTTCTTGACGGCATACTCAAGAATGTTTCTGCCTAAATCGAGTCCCATTTTTCTCTAATGAAATTCAAAAGTTATGCCATACGTTATTAAATACGGATGCTAAGGCCAAGTGAATTTTCTAGATTACCACTCTCTTTTTGTCACGTAGTATCTTGATTTATTTTGCAAGGAAAGCTCTATACCCTTAAAAAAAGCTTGTCATTCTTGATACGCTGGACCGCCTTCAATTTCGTATGAAACTGCACAAAACCTATGTCGCGAAATAGTAGCTTGAAACGCCGTAGTACTCCGCGGCGCGGCGGGCGACCAGCGTGACACGCGCGCAGGCGCCTACAAACCTAACAGGGATACTTCACGCATTGCGCAACGCGTGAAGTATCCCGTTAGGTTTGTAGGCGCCAATGCAACTATTCCACCACGAAAGTATTGCACAGTATCAAATGTAATTGAAGGCGCACTAACGTTAGGCTCTAATATTTAAACTCTCGGAATCAGCGTTCTTTAACTCATGATTTGAAATGTTTGCACGCTCTGCACGGATTATTCTCATTTAAATTGATGGTGGGAAAAAATGTAGTAAAGGAAAATATAACGTTTGTTTTGAAAATATTAAGGTGGTTCTGTGTCTAATTTTAATGATTTCCAAGGCTTTTTAATTTTTCTTTTATATTTTGTGCTTTTACTGTGCTGCAGCGTGATGTATTCGGAACCAAACGCTCAATATTGGACGTGTCTGACTGTAAAAGATCGATGTAAAAGCGGTTTAAAACCAAATAATGCGTCCTCCTTGGTTTTTTCTCTCTCTTCTCCATTTTTGTAAAATTCCTTTCAACACAAGTACGGCTCATTGAGATTAACATTGATGTCATCACTTGGAAAAGGTTTTAATAATATTTGCCGCGTTTTAAAAATATAATGTTTTTAAAATGAAGTAATATTATCATTTTAAAAAAGGTATGTATATACGGTATATATTAAATCGACAATTTTATCTAAATTTTCGTGTATACACCCATTTTCAAAATTCTCTGTAAAGACGTTAATAGCCTGTGACGCTGAATGGCTTAAAATATATTAACTAACTAACTAACTAACTATAGATAGGAATAAAACCAAATATTCACCAATGAAAATATGAATGATGAATCAAAAGAAGGAAGTAACATTTCATTTAAAAAATGAGTTACAATAACAACACCTCCTTCTCTCTCAATTACGCGTGGACGAAAATTGCTAGACTAAACAGGTGTCTAGACAAAAAATTGTTGACGGAATGTCCTGAAACCGTATAGACGGATCCAAGGGGGAGGGGCTTAGGGGGCGTACGCCTCCGGCCCTCCTCCCTCCCCGTTTACCCTCAAAATGAACTGTAAAAAAAGTAAGAAAGAAAAAAGAAAGGGATAAAGGAAAGAAGAAGGAAGGGCGCATATATTTGATAATTGTTCATGACGAAATTGACCAATTTGCCCAAAATTTGACCAAAATAGATGACTTATACTTAAAATTTTTAGTAATTTTTACTTTTACTTTTCAAAAGTTTAGACACGTGAAACAGATAATTTTTTATTTTAAATAATGATATTTCGGACAGTTTATCAACAAGACGTGTATGTTCATCTTTTATTGCCATCTATGAGCTCACTGAAAAAAGTTAGACATTAAATATTTTACCTGTAACCATGCTCATCAGCAATGTAATGGACCATTCTTATGGAGCCGTCTGGCTCGAGTAGGCCGTAACTACCGGTTACTGTGCCGTTCGGATGTCGTTCTTCCTTCCTGTGCTGAATATTGAACGTTTTCCGATCTTCCAAATCATACCCGAATTCATATGTGCTGGGACCCTAAAAAACGAATTTATATTTCATAACTTGCATAATTTTTCCTCCAATAGTTTATTGCTTTTGTCAAATATTTATTTACGTCGCATCACTTGCTTTTGAAATCTGAGTGCTAAAAAATTAATTTAAAGACGTCAAATTAGACGTATTCACGGTACAAAGAACTTTCCACAAATCGTTTGAATCGGAAAGTAACAATGTCCATAAAATTGGACAAGATTTTGCAATTTGGAACTGCAATTTCTGGCTCAGTTTAGAAACAATATATGTACCCTTGGTTTCTCTAAGTGCATGCGTGTTTTTACGGATGAGCTAGGAATTGTAATTCCTACTTGCAGAATGAAGTCCAGTTTCAGTGTCTCATAATTGCAGAGGGAACGCTGAGAAATTGTCTTTACTGCTAAGGAAGAACGTCGTATGAACCTTCGAGTGTTGCCAGATTTCCCTTGATAATATATTTATTTTTAGGAACATTCATGCATATTCTTCCTTGAAATTTTAGGATATTTTAGATTAAATTGCGTGCGAATTTGTCTGAAAATTTTGGAAAACAATATTTGCAATTTTCTTAGTAAATTCGGCTTTTATCGGAAGAAACTTGGCAACGTCTGAAGGCTCATACGGCGTTCTCCCTTAGCGCGGCAGTATATGTGTTGGTCAGGGCTTTAGAGATGTTAGGAGAAATTATTAGTAAGTTAAGTTGAAAGGTTGAAACTTATGTCACTGGTAAAAACAGGGTTTTTTCTAACCCACTAGTAGTATCAGGACTAACTTCTTTATTTTTGATGAATAACACTTTCTTTTTTCAACCTCTCCTTATTTTGAATTGAAAAACAACAGTTTATCTAATTAAAAAATTCACTTGCTCAGTTTTCTTGGATCATACTGCATCGATCAATTTACATTGTCTTCGAAACTTGCGTCGAAAATATGATCATCAGATGAGGCTCGTGCGTCAATTCATCGCTGTTCTGATGTAAGGGCATATCTCAATTTCCACGTGAGCCCTGTTCTCCGTATAAATCATGCTTTCCAAGGCTCTTGTGGAAATAGAGATAGTCCTTGCGTCAGAGGAGCGACGGATTGAACTGATTGGTTTTCTTTTTCAACAATACAAACATATTTAGCCACCTTTGCTTCAAAACATTTCATGATCTATTCTGTTATATCTATTTGGCCTGAGTTCATTACAGAAAAAATAGCCTAAATTTTAGCTAAAGTCAACTCAAAAGTAGTTTTAAGCTCAAACAGTCGTAAGAATTCTTGTTGCAGAAGCTCAAAATTGAGAGAGAGAATTGAGAAATATGGATATACTAGGAAAATACTAGGAAATATGGTGTAAAAATCATAAAATCAAAACAAGCTGAAAGGAATAGAATTTCAGGCCCACTTTCCTCGAATTTATTTTAATATAGGTTCATAACTTCTCCTGAACCCAACCCAATTTTAGAGTATTTTACGGACAAATAATAAAACAGAAATAGTTGAGGTATGAACTTACATTGTGATCCCGATCATTATGAGAGGCCCATTCTTCTTCAACCGATTTTTTTTCGGACCCAGTTTCCTCAGGCATGACGTTGTGAACGAATGCAAAGCATAGCTAAAAACACAGGAAAAATTTTAGTGATATTGGTATTATTTATGATGAATTTTTCATTAAAAGTAGAAATCTCCTACCCACTTTCGTTTTCTCCTTCTTAAATACCTGGGAATAGCGCTTTGCAATAAAACCGGAAATGACCAAATGATACTGAAAATTGTAAATGACCTTTGAAGCCGAATAAAATTTGATGCAAAGTGATTTCAGTGAACGGAAATGCTCCAGTGCTCTAATATCAAGTCTTTGAAGGCGCCTGTAGCCATGAGTATTTTACGATTAGGCGTTGAATGTAATGACAACTGTAACACAAATTGTCTACCCACAACTTGTAGGAGAAACTGATGAGAGGAACTTTGCAATGTTGAAGATGTGGTGTAATTTGATGAGGCCTTTTGAGATTAGGAAATATACTAAGGTAGAACTGTACTAGAATTATTTAGTAAAAAGGCTTTAAAAACTTGTTCGAAGGTATAATAGCTTCCGTTTGCTCGTGTTACCGTATTTTGACCATCTTTTACTTTTACATATCTGTATTATCATTGTTACCTTTCTTCATTTTAAGCCTTTTCCTGTTTTTACTTAGTCACTAAGGTTTAAACTCATATTTTCTTGTATTTTTTCCTGTTTATATTACAAAAAGATCAATTAATTCTTTTGTCCATCTCGTTGTATATGTCATCACACAGAAAACTCTATCTACATAGAGAGTGTTGAAAGAACGCACTTACATATAATAGAGGACAATAATGGAATATCACTGTTCTGTGGGAATTGCATGCATAAGTTAATCATCTCTTCGTACTGACTTCTTTGCATTTTGTGGCATAATATTTTTAAGAAATATAACAAAAATTATAAATTGTGTCCAGCATCTCATTTTAATAAAAGAGAATCAAAGTATTAGCCGTGGATATTGCATATTTTTGTCAAAAATGTGTCTGGCAAGATCTCATTATACTGTTGCTGTAAATCTTATAATTAATTATACCTCAGAATTTAAAGTTAATACTAAGGTACCCAGATCAATATTTAAGTCTCATCAGGCACATTTTCAACTTATAAAACGTTTAATTACCAAGTAATTATTTGAGCTTTTCAGTGAGATCCGTGCATAAGACATCATATATGATTGAGGTTACAGGACATTTTGTCAACGATTTTTTGCCAGCGCACCTGTTCTTTCTAGTAGTTTACATCCACGCATTTTTTCGGCAAGAGAGTTTTGGTCCACCTACCAATTGAGACCCAAAATTAATTGGTCCACATGTACAAACGACAATAATTGCTCACAACGTTTTTGGATGAAAACGTAAAATGTCTTGAAAGAATGAGGGTTTGCTTGTCTGGTCCAACAGAGAAAAATAAATGATAGAGATTTTTGGTAAAGATGGGAGAGCGTCAATTCCATTGGGGAAAATTCACTAAAACTCTCTTTACCTCTTTGGTGCAACAGGTCTTAATTATCTTTCAAGAAAACCCCATCTTGTCATACCAGAATCGAATAAACCTTTTAATTTGTCTCGGCTAGAGGCTCTTAAATTGTTCCTGTGTACGATAACTTCGCCACGGCGACGGCGCGGCGCCGGCGTGACGCGGCGCTTCGAGCTACTTACTATTTCGCCTCGGAGGTGTTGCACAGTATCTTTTGAGATTGAAGGCGCCCCAACGTATCATGATTGATGGCAACTTTCAAAAGCACAAACTTCCGTCGCAAAATAAATCGAGTGACGACGACAAAAAGAGAGAGGCATTCGAAAAACTCACTAAATCTTTGTACCTGTATTCAATAACGTTTAGCGTGTTTTTGAACTTCACTAAAGGGAAAAGTGACTTGATTCAAGCAGAATTATGCTCAAATTTACCACCGAGAAGATTTCTTTATGAATCAATAAAAAAAATAATGCTTGTGTAAAGAAGAAAAGACATGTATACAAAGAAAAGTCACTTACATCAAGTAGAATCCCGCTTTCATTCAGCTATTTTATTCTTGATTCAAAATAAAATCCTCTTGACGGCATACTGAGGAATGTTTCTGCCTAAATCGAGTTACTTTTTCTCTAATGTAATTCAAAAATAATGCTGAACTTTATTAAACATGGGTGCTAGGACTAATTGAGTTTTTGGACTACCGCTTTCTTTTTGTGCCGGAATATCTTGATTTATTTTGCGAGGAAAGCTCCGGACTTTTAAAGGATGCCTGTCATTCTTAAAACGTCAGAGCGCCTTCAATTTCGTATGATACTGTGCAACAACTCTGTTGCGAAATAGTTGCTTGAAGCCCCGCGGCAGGTGATGGCGACCAGCGTGACACGCGATTGGCGCCTACAAACCTAACGGGGATACTTCACGCATTGCGCAATGCGTGAAGTATCCCTGTTAGGTTTGCAGGCGCCAATGCGCGTGTCGAGCTGGAAGCACGCCACGATCGCCACGTGCTGCTTCGCTCTATTTGGCTCTAATATTTAAACTCGCGGAGACAGCATTTTTCAACTCATTATTTCGAAATGTTTGCACATTCTGCATAAATCAGTCTCATTTAAAGTGATAAAAAGAAAAAAATAATAGATACTTAAGGAAAATATAATGCGTACTTTGCAAATATTAAGGTGGTTCCGTGTCAAATTTATTGATTTCCAAATCACTTTAATTTTATCCTCTATATTTTGTGCTTTTACAGTACTGCAACAAGGTGTACATGCAACCAAATGCTCAAAATTGGACGTATTTGAGTCTAAAAGATCAATGTACAAATGGGTTAAAACCAAAGATTGCATGCTTCTTGGTTTTTTCCCCCTCTTTTTTTCATTTTTGTATAGCTTCTTTCAACACAACGACGGCTCATTGAGATTAATATCGATGCCATCGCTTGGAAACGGTTTTACAAATATCTGCCCAGTCTTAAAAATGTAAATGTTTTTAAAATGAAAATTATTTTCATTTAAAAAAAAAAGGTATGTATAAGGTATATTTTAAATCGAAAATTTTAAGGATTGAAATAAAAAAAAAAATATTTACCAATGACAATTTGAAAAGATGAATCAAAAGAAGAAAGTAACATTTCATTTAAAAACTGAGTTACTATAACAACACATCTTCCTCTCTCAATTTTCTCATTTCGATATAGACCAATTTAGTGTGACGTCACATCTCGATTTAATTTCGATATCTCGAAAGTCAAAACGTGCCCCAACAAACGAACATATAGGAATCTGCGGGATTTAGGCAGGGGGGGTAGGGGGATTCGCTTTATGACTGTCACTGATATTACGAGCTTATTATACAATCAATTCTTGTGATTGTGATCTCGAACGTTTTTGTAAATGGCTAGCTTTCATAATTTTAAAGTCCCATGGAGCAATTTTTTAGTTTCAGGCAGTTTTAGCATTATTTCGTCAATTGTTCATTTTGGAGGTTATGTTTGTTTGTTGGGGCACATTTCGACTTTCGAGATATCGAACCAACAATATCGCTCCGTGACGTCACCACTAAATTGGTCTATTGTGAATACAATTTTACAAACGGACTAAAATATAACGCTTGGACCAAGTCACTGTTGCTTATTTTACGCGTGGACGTAAACTACTAGACAAAATAGGTGCGCGGACAAAAACTCGTTGACGGAATGTCCTGAAACCATAATGTTACAGGATTCTAAAATTATCATAGAATCTCTTCCAATTTTAAAACAGCGTAAATGTTCTGGAATGTTAGTGCAGGAGGAGGAGGAAAGTGAAAAGTGATCTCTCCCCCATGAAGGAGAAATGTTACTTTTATGCAAGAAAATTTGATAAATTTTGATGCTCATAGGGAAATTTTTGGAGATTCATCTCCTCCAAACAAATCTATCTCTCTCTGTCATTAACTGGACTTCATTTTGCAATCATTAGGAACTGCAATTTTGTCTCATCCGTAAAAACACTTATGGGCGTAGAGAAACGAACGGTACTTGCGTTGTTTTTAAACTAAGCCAGAAATTTTGGTTCCAAATTTCAAAATGAAGTTCAACTATACTCCAGTCCCGATAGTCGGTTAAAACAGTGCCACCATAAACTCCTGAATTTCAACAAAAAAATCAAGGAAAATACAAACACCCCACAAAAAAGCCGTACTCAACATGATAAGGCTCGTACAGAAAACTTACCAATACTGGCGCCTTGAACCACACACTTTTCATTGTAACTCCAAACAGGGACACCATAACTTATCTCACAAGTATTCAAATTCGAGCTTCAAATCAGCCGTCGCTTAAGTCATTTTGTGTCAATATGAGCCACGGTATAACATTTACTCGCTAGCCATGCTTTGGGAGCCACTTCAGTAATTAGAAAAGGAAACTATCACAACAATTAACCGATGATAAAAACTCGGTGTTTGAGTTTTACGACTCATAAAAGAGGACTGTCAAATGAATCTTCTGGTTTGAAAGTAAAAGTTGGGGAAACTTGGCCGTTTCAAAGCGGGTCCAGCTGACGTCAAAATCGCCTCGGACTCTTCGAGTAGCCTCTTAAATCCGGCAAAGAATGTTGCGATGGGCCTTAATTGGCGAAGTATCCGCCGATCGAACTAAACCTCACACAATTTTACAAACACAGTCTTATGTCGCACAGGCATACTTAACTTGGATATAGAATCACACGAAGTTAATAGAGATTCACTAAATGTTGGTGTTTTAGAGATTTTTTTAGTTTAATGACGATTGCGAGCTAGTAATTGTGACTGATTGGAGTGTGATTTTCCAACGAGCTGTCAAATCGGTACTAATTGTGATCTAATTAATCGGGAGCTGATGCGCCGATTCTGGTGCAGTTAGGTAATCAAGGGCAGTTTCCCTCCAACTGTCCCGATCTTCGCCGAGGGCACTATCGGATTATCGCGTTGCACATCTAAAATGCATGTCATCGTGGACTCTTCGTCAAAAAGAGGTAAACAAATGAGACGTCTTGGTCTATGCAACCTATGTTCCATCATGATTTAACAGAGAGAGGCTGGTAAAATAATTGGGCCAAAAGCACAATCAGCGGAAATATCGATGGTGAAACTGCAGAAATGCGTCGGTTGGCGGCGCGGCGTTGCAAACTTCCCGTCATACTTTATTTTTAACATGGAAAACCATCAAACTTAATTTCTTGAAAACTTTGAAGATTTTCCCTCTCAGTGAGAGGAATATTCTTAGAATATTTCAAGCTATAACATTGGTTTGGTTGCCTTTTAGAAAATAGATTAGGAGCGGAGATTTTGAAACCGCAACTGAACTGTACGCATTTCTGCAGTTACACTATTGATATGGAACATATGTGGCAGAGTGACAGCATCCCTCTCCTCTAAGCCCGACATATTTCGCCGATGATGGTAACTTTTTGCGAGCGGCAGACACTAGTACCCGTTGAACTTTCTCCTACATTGAGACATTTCCCACCATTTAACCTCTCCCTAAAGATGAATTATCGGTCGTATTTTTGAAATGAACTAAAAATTTTAGGCAATTAATCCAATACATTTTTGAATTTAGAGGTTGTCTGCTCCTCTACATTTCCTCATACCTACTCAAGCGATTGGCCGCACTTGCATAAAGTATACGTGACAAATTACAGAGGTAAAACTCTCATTTACCTATTTCTGCATCTCAGATAGCCAGTAGTCGAACAGACTTCCGATGGCTTTTGTTTACTCAAAAATCAAGTTTAGACTTGACTCTTTTCGTGAAACTTCAAAAGCATAAATTTTCATGAAATTTGCTTTAAAGACATCAAACATTACTCAAATGAAGTGCGGTCAAATTCATATACATTATTGACAACTTTATGTAAATGGACAGCATTCTGCAATAAGGAACTGCACTTCTAGCTCGTCCACAGATGCCCCAATCTGCATGAGGTTCCTAATGGCACATAATACGATGTTTCTAAAATTAGCCAGATATTGTATTTCCTAATCAAAAACTTCAGTGAAAATGTTTGTTGAGTTTGTCAAATATGCGTCGCATTTCGAAGCCCTACATCCACAGAGATTGCATTATTGCCTAAAAGTGTGCGTTTAGAAATATATTAGGAAACATACTTGCAAACAACTTTCAGGGGCTAAAATCGCTTAAATTATGAGGAATTATGAGTGAATTTATGGGAAAATATAGGCATGTGAAGAAAGTTTTATAGACCCCGCAGACTGTATGTGAAGAGAGTAAAATTAATCGTAAATGTTTCACTTTTCACAAAGGGAAGGGCATTTACAGTAAAATGTGTTTTCATTGAGAGGACAGAGTCCAAAAGTAAAAACATACTTGAAGATCACGAAAACTGATTTTTTTGGAAAAAATTTCCAGAAAAGGAGAGGGGGTCTAGACCCCCTCCTTCACTGGAAGGATTGTCTGATCTTGACCATGGTAATCGGTTCCTACTCATTTGATAATCGGCGAAATATGAGCAGGTCAACAGAAAATCGGGAGAGGACTCTCAGGAGCTGTTGGATAAGAGGTTTTAGACTCGGATCAGTGAGTTTAAGGTCACGTGAGTAACACTAAGGTCACCTGGAACTTTGCGACGGCCCAGACGGCTGACGGTGGGTTATGTCATCGCTGGAGCGGCGCACGCGACGCCGACGACAACGATGACAGCCGACGACGCACGGTGGATCCAGTCGCTTAGAGAGCTCGCACATGAATTTTTCGACTAAAACTCCAAATTTCCATGTATATTTCGTCACATTTTAAATTTTAAATAGTGCTTTTAAAAGAAAGTTTCACGAGGAAACCAAGGGAACCACTTTGAGAACCTCAAAGTTTTGTATAAACGGAGCTATAAGCGTTTGAAGATTACAAACTTTGTCCGACCCTATTGACTCGACCCACTGTGCGGCGGGCGGTGACAGTGAGATCGACGCTGATGAGCAGAGGGGGCGTGGCCTTAACAATGAGTCGTCGCTCGTCTAGCGTCCATCTCCGCGGGAAGCAAGCATGAATGAACGTAAACTACGATGCGTGAATGAGTATCGGTCTATTTCAAATTTCAAATCACTGCGCTAAGTAGAGAGAATACTTTCGCATAGCCATTTGGAGATTCTCGGTGACTTTAACGCAAGGTAAGAAGAATAAACATGGCAAAGTTTATAGCAACTACTATGGCAACCTCAAATGGACTTCATTTTAGCAATTCGACTCTGCAATTTCTGACTCGTCCGTAAAAAGGCTTATGTACATAGGGAAACTAATGGCACATACGTTGTTTCTGTACTGAACCAGAAGTTGTAGTTGCGAATTTCAAAATGTAGTGTGATTTGGAGAGTTTTTTTTGTGATCGACCTGAGAAGTCATTCTGAGAAGAAAAACGTTGGATATCATATTTTTTGCAAATATATTTCATGCGTTTAATCTTCTGAATGATCGATTTTTGCAACTTGTCCAGCTTGAAGCTTGTCCAATTTATGTGATTAATTGAAAAATGACTCCTCATCATCGAATAAAATCCTATGTTTGATTATGTAAATCTAATACCAGCAGTTTGACTCACTAAAGGCCAAAAGAATGCGATAAACTGATGAAATCCACCGCATTTTTATTCTTAATTACCTGAGATCACCTTTAAAACAATTTTACGGTTGAATGATCATCAGTTATGTATTTCATGTAACGATGGATTAATTCAAATACACCAGATATCATATCATGCAAAAATCGGTTATTTAGCAAATTATGCATTTGAAACAATTGCAGAACATATTGTACCCGACGATTTCTGTCTAGAATCGACTTGTAGGTTCACAAAAAGTGCTCAAAATGGATGTTATTTTGGTGATTGTCATAAATGTTATCTTGTTAACTTTTCTTACCCTGCGTTTAAATCTACGAGAATCCCTATATAGCTTTCAACGGCTGTGGAGAGCAGAACACGAGTCAATCTCAGAAATCGAAGCAAAAATTAACTTAGTATCCAGGTTCACAGCTTTACAAAACCATACGAATTCTTCCTTGCGATATAATTCTCTTTGAACCATGAAAATACCAGCAGAATCAGCTTATGTTCACTGCTCATATTGAGAAATCATTTCTTTTATGGATTTAAGAGACTTATTTAGTCAAAGAAATCTGAATCTATTATTATTAATTTTCAGGCAACAGTCCGTTCTTTCAACTTTCGATTGTTCTCATTGCGGAAAAACTTTTGAAAAAATACATCATTTATTGTGGTTTTTTGTGCTGTAGATACATTAAAATTTGTCTCAACAATTATCTTGTCAACATCATGAGCGTTGAAGTACACGTGTTTTGCAAGTAGTTTAATATTCGTAACTTATTCGTTGGAGATACCACGTTCACACTTCTTAAGGTTAAGGAATGGTTCTTTTTGCGAGAGTTCGGAGGGAGAACATTCGCATGTTCTGCAGTCTTATCACGTCATTCGTGCTACCTTAATCTGATACCAGGGCGACAATAATTGGACTTTTGCAAAATCATCCTAAGGGTATTAGAGAACCAATACTTTCGTACAGAGGAGAAAGTCTAAAGCTACTTAAAACCCGCATTATCTAAATTGCAAAGCAAGATTTCAAATTAAGTATTCCCTTAAAAAGTGACTTAGTAAAACGATACGTTAGGCATTTTTTTTTTTTTTTTTTTTTTAAACAACCTTTATATTTTTTTCTGGAAGAATAACGAGTAAACAATGTCAGGTTAGTGGATACTAACCAGTTTATTTTTGCAAACGTGAGTAAAGACCGTGAGAGATCTAGCTGCTTATCGACTATCGTAGCACAATGCAAACGAGCGAGGCAAAGACCATTGGACTGTTGAATTTTTAACAGAATATACCGCCTACTGACGTCTGTTTGGGCTACTCTCAGCGTTTTTTCTGCGTTGACGATGACTAATGTTGACTCGGTTTATCAGTTTTTAAAGGAAAATTATTAATTCAAATATTTTTGCTAAAAAGATTGCTTCATACTTCACATTGAGGAAAAGATAGCGTTAAAACGTAAGCATAATATCTTTACACCTTAAGAGTCATACCTGGAGTGGTATTTTACAATTTTGCTCTGTGTACTCAATACGTCGATGGCCGAAGTAAGTAACCACGTATCTCTTTTCCGTGTGCGACGTTGCAGATTCCCGGACCTATACTTTATTTTTTTCTTCGGAAATCGAGTCAAATTTATTAATTGAAAACTTCATGAAATTATCAATTCTGATAGCAGAAAATTCTGTGTAAA